AAGTCAGCTTTCCGATATCATTGCCAATAGGTGCACTCCGTAGGCTACTACGTCTCAATTATTCAAAATTTCCTACTTTTCACCACAGATTCGTTCTTTTCGACATCGAATTAGTCTATTTGAATTTTTTCAGGTTTTTAATAGGCCAAATAAAAATTTTCATTTTCCTACCTGAGACTTCAGTACGATATAGTCACCGAGCTATCTTCGGACGGCCGAAAGTGCCAGAAAACGGCGAAAATTCACGCGAATTATCGCTTTTCCAGTAGAAAATGACACGCTGAATCGAATGAGACTACGATCAGCCCGATAGGACAGATAGTTTTCGAGATATCGACGCTCAAAGTCAGCTTTCCGATTTCATTGCCAATAGGTGCACTCCGGTAGGCTACTACGTCTCAATTATTCAAAATTTCCTACTTTTCACCACAGATTCGTTCTTTTCGACATCGAATTAGTCTATTTGAATTTTTTCAGATATTTAATAGACCAAATAAAAATTTTCAGTTTCCTACCTGAGACTTCAGTACGATATAGTCACCGAGCTATCTTCGGACGGCCGAAAGTGCCAGAAAACGGCGGAAATTCACGCGAATTATCGCCTTTCCAGTAGAAAATGACACGCTGAATCGAATGAGACTACGATCAGCCCGATAGGACAAATAGTTTTCGAGATATCGACGCTCAAAGTCAGCTTTCCGATTTCATTGCCAATAGGTGCACTCCGGTAGGCTACTACGTCCCAATTATTCAAAATTTCCTACTTTTCACCACAGATTCGTTCTTTCGACATCGAATTAGTCTATTTGAATTTTTTCAGATTTTTAATAGGCCAAATAAAAATTTTCATTTTCCTACCTGAGACTTCAGTACGATATAGTCACCGAGCTATCTTCGGACGGCCGAAAGTGCCAGAAAACGGCGGAAATTCACGCGAATTATCGCCTTTCCAGTAGAAAATGACACGCTGAATCGAATGAGACTACGATCAGCCCGATAGGACAGATAGTTTTCGAGATATCGACGCTCAAAGTCAGCTTTCCGATATCATTGCCAATAGGTGCACTCCGGTAGGCTACTACGTCTCAATTATTCAAAATTTCCTACTTTTCACCACAGATTCGTTCTTTTCGACATCGAATTAGTCTATTTGAATTTTTTCAGGTTTTAATAGGCCAAATAAAAATTTTCATTTTCCTACCTGAGACTTCAGTACGATATAGTCACCGAGCTATCTTCGGACGGCCGAAAGTGCCAGAAAACGGCGAAAATTCACGCGAATTATCGCTTTTCCAGTAGAAAATGACACGCTGAATCGAATGAGACTACGATCAGCCCGATAGGACAGATAGTTTTCGAGATATCGACGCTCAAAGTCAGCTTTCCGATTTCATTGCCAATAGGTGCACTCCGGTAGGCTACTACGTCTCAATTATTCAAAATTTCCTACTTTTCACCACAGATTCGTTCTTTTCGACATCGAATTAGTCTATTTGAATTTTTTCAGATATTTAATAGACCAAATAAAAATTTTCAGTTTCCTACCTGAGACTTCAGTACGATATAGTCACCGAGCTATCTTCGGACGGCCGAAAGTGCCAGAAAACGGCGGAAATTCACGCGAATTATCGCCTTTCCAGTAGAAAATGACACGCTGAATCGAATGAGACTACGATCAGCCCGATAGGACAAATAGTTTTCGAGATATCGACGCTCAAAGTCAGCTTTCCGATTTCATTGCCAATAGGTGCACTCCGGTAGGCTACTACGTCCCAATTATTCAAAATTTCCTACTTTTCACCACAGATTCGTTCTTTTCGACATCGAATTAGTCTATTTGAATTTTTTCAGATTTTTAATAGGCCAAATAAAAATTTTCATTTTCCTACCTGAGACTTCAGTACGATATAGTCACCGAGCTATCTTCGGACGGCCGAAAGTGCCAGAAAACGGCGGAAATTCACGCGAATTATCGCCTTTCCAGTAGAAAATGACACGCTGAATCGAATGAGACTACGATCAGCCCGATAGGACAGATAGTTTTCGAGATATCGACGCTCAAAGTCAGCTTTCCGATTTCATTGCCAATAGGTGCACTCCGGTAGGCTACTACGTCCCAATTATTCAAAATTTCCTACTTTTCACCACAGATTCGTTCTTTTCGACATCGAATTAGTCTATTTGAATTTTTTCAGATTTTTCATAGACCAAATAAAAATTTTCATTTTGCTACCTGAGACTTCAGTACGATATAGTCACCGAGCTATCTTCGGACGGCCGAAAGTGCCAGAAAACGGCGGAAATTCACGCGAATTATCGCTTTTCCAGTAGAAAATGACACGCTGAATCGAATGAGACTACGATCAGCCCGATAGGACAGATAGTTTTCGAGATATCGACGCTCAAAGTCAGCTTTCCGATATCATTGCCAATAGGTGCACTCCGGTAGGCTACTACGTCTCAATTATTCAAAATTTCCTACTTTCCACCACAGATTCGTTCTTTTCGACATCGAATTAGTCTATTTGAATTTTTTCAGATTTTTAATAGGCCAAATAAAAATTTTCATTTTCCTACCTGAGACTTCAGTACGATATAGTCACCGAGCTATCTTCGGACGGCCGAAAGTGCCAGAAAACGGCGGAAAGTCACGCGAATTATCGCTTTGCCAGTAGAAAATGACACGCTGAATCGAATGAGACTACGATCAGCCCGATAGGACAGATAGTTTTCGAGATATCGACGCTCAAAGTCAGCTTTCCGATATCATTGCCAATAGGTGCACTCCGGTAGGCTACTACGTCTCAATTATTCAAAATTTCCTACTTTTCACCACAGATTCGTTCTTTTCGACATCGAATTAGTCTATTTGAATTTTTTCAGGTTTTTAATAGGCCAAATAAAAATTTTCATTTTCCTACCTGAGACTTCAGTACGATATAGTCACCGAGCTATCTTCGGACGGCCGAAAGTGCCAGAAAACGGCGAAAATTCACGCGAATTATCGCTTTTCCAGTAGAAAATGACACGCTGAATCGAATGAGACTACGATCAGCCGATAGGACAGATAGTTTTCGAGATATCGACGCTCAAAGTCAGCTTTCCGATTTCATTGCCAATAGGTGCACTCCGGTAGGCTACTACGTCTCAATTATTCAAAATTTCCTACTTTTCACCACAGATTCGTTCTTTTCGACATCGAATTAGTCTATTTGAATTTTTTCAGATATTTAATAGACCAAATAAAAATTTTCAGTTTCCTACCTGAGACTTCAGTACGATATAGTCACCGAGCTATCTTCGGACGGCCGAAAGTGCCAGAAAACGGCGGAAATTCACGCGAATTATCGCTTTTCCAGTAGAAAATGACACGCTGAATCGAATGAGACTACGATCAGCCCGATAGGACAGATAGTTTTCGAGATATCGACGCTCAAAGTCAGCTTTCCGATTTCATTGCCAATAGGTGCAATCCGGTAGGCTACTACGTCTCAATTATTCAAAATTTACTACTTTTCACCACAGATTCGTTCTTTTCGACATCGAATTAGTCTATTTGAATTTTTTCAGATTTTTCATAGACCAAATAAAAATTTTCATTTTCCTACCTGAGACTTCAGTACGATATAGTTACCGAGCTATCTTCGGACGGCCGAAAGTGCCAGAAAACGGCGGAAATTCAAGCGAATCATCGCTTTTCCAGTAGAAAATGACACGCTGAATCGAATGAGACTACGATCAGCCCGATAGGACAGATAGTTTTCGAGATATCGACGCTCAAAGTCAGCTTTCCGATATCATTGCCAATAGGTGCACTCCGGTAGGCTACTACGTCTCAATTATTCAAAATTTCCTACTTTTCACCACAGATTCGTTCTTTTCGACATCGAATTAGTCTATTTGAATTTTTTCAGATTTTAAATAGACCAAATAAAAATTTTCATTTTCCTACCTGAGACTTCAGTACGATATAGTCACCGAGCTATCTTCGGACGGCCGAACAGAAAACGGCGGAAATTCAAGCGAATTATCGCTTTTCCAGTAGAAAATGACACGCTGAATCGAATGAGACTACGATCAGCCCGATAGGACAAATAGTTTTCGAGATATCGACGCTCAAAGTCAGCTTTCCGATTTCATTGCCAATAGGTGCACTCCGGTAGGCTACTACGTCTCAATTATTCAAAATTTCCTACTATTCACCACAGATTCGTTCTTTTCGACATCGAATTAGTCTATTTGAATTTTTCAGATTTTTAATAGGCCAAATAAAAATTTTCATTTTCCTACCTGAGACTTCAGTACGATATAGTCACCGAGCTATCTTCGGACGGCCGAAAGTGCCAGAAAACGGCGGAAATTCACGCGAATTATCGCCTTTCCAGTAGAAAATGACACGCTGAATCGAATGAGACTACGATCAGCCCGATAGGACAGATAGTTTTCGAGATATCGACGCTCAAAGTCAGCTTTCCGATTTCATTGCCAATAGGTGCAATCCGGTAGGCTACTACGTCTCAATTATTCAAAATTTCCTACTTTTCACCACAGATTCGTTCTTTTCGACATCGAATTAGTCTATTTGAATTTTTTCAGATTTTTCATAGACCAAATAAAAATTTTCATTTTGCTACCTGAGACTTCAGTACGATATAGTCACCGAGCTATCTTCGGACGGCCGAAAGTGCCAGAAAACGGCGGAAATTCACGCGAATTATCGCTTTTCCAGTAGAAAATGACACGCTGAATCGAATGAGACTACGATCAGCCCGATAGGACAGATAGTTTTCGAGATATCGACGCTCAAAGTCAGCTTTCCGATTTCATTGCCAATAGGTGCACTCCGGTAGGCTACTACGTCTCAATTATTCAGAACCCGTTGCACCACCACCAGCTTGCAACAATTTTATGTAATTTTTTTAGCTATTGTGTAAAATATGAACAATCACCCTGCACAACCCCATTGACACTTCGAAACCGAAACCGCACATTCGACTCACCCGTCACCCCTACCGCTGCCGAACTCCGCCGCCACGTCCTCGATGTCGACGACGGGGCTGTCGCCTTCCGCGATGGTGGGCAGCGCGGGCGGGCCCAGGTGGGGCGGACAAGGGCCGCCCCCGGAAGTGGGCGGGTCTCCGCAGGGGGGCGGACGCGCGACTTCCTGCGCGAGGTCCATGTAGCGAGCGAAGCGCCGGCGGTAGCGCTGGTGCAAGATCAGGCAGCCGACGGTAACTGCGAGAGTTTATTCAATTATACAAGGCCAGGATAATGCTCTTCCGCAGAGCTATCGTCCTATCAGTCTCCTGTGCTCTCCATCTAAGATAACTGAGCGAGTGATTAAACAGAGATTACAGGAATTTATCGACGACAACGAGCTTATACCAGATGAGCAGTTCGGTTTCAGAACTGGCCACTCAACTGAACTAAGAACGACAAGTCTTGAGACTCATTGAGAACACAATATCGTTGAGAAATGATAGACAAAAGACCCATCTTGCTCTCCTTGACATAGCGAAAGCATTTGACAAGGTGTGGCATGATGGTATCTTATACAAAATGATCGATATGGGCTTTCCTGACGATTTGATTCAGTTGATGTGTTCATTTCTGAAAAATCGAACTTTTCAAGTAAAACTGATGATCAATGATCTGGTATCAAGCCCATTGAAGCTGGTGTTCCTCAGGGTTTTATCTCCGCTGTTGTACAGTTTATATACTAGCGATTTGCCAAGACCAGTGATGTGCAAGATGTCGCTTTTTGCTGATGATACGGCAGTTCTTGCATATTCGACAAATTTCGAGCAAGCAGCTATGAACCTCCAAAGCGCACTGAATTCTCTTCAGGAGTACTTCCTAAGATGGAAGATCAAATTGAATCCTACAAAAACACAATTGGTCGCACTTGGAAGGGAGCGGAGGCCTCCCAGAACCAGAATAGTCCTGGATGGTCATGAGTTAGAGTGGTCTTCACAAGTTGAATACTTAGGTGTGTGCATTGACAAAAAGCTCACCTGGGCCCAGCACATTGAACAGCAAGTTTCTAAAGCTAAACGAGCCATTAGTTTGAGACAAAAATTGAATATTTATATCATGGCTATCAGGCCAATTTTACTGTATGCCTCAGTAGTCTGGGGCCACACAGCTAAATCTCATATCACCAGATTACAAACATTACAAAACAAAGTCGCGAGAATGGTGACAGGATCTCCTTGGTATGTTCGGAATAACCAGATCGCTAGGGATCTGAAACTCCCTTCAATCGTGTGTCAGTCATTAAAGAACGAAACATCAAGACTTTCGAAAAAGCTGAGGTTCATGAGAATCAGCTTCTTCGAAATGCAGTTGATTATGACCCAGGTGATCAATCAAAGTTCAAAAGACCGAGATTGTCCATAAACTAGAGGAAATATCGACATTATGACCAAATTTACTATTCTCAAGTTTTTGATATTTATTTTTTCCGTTCGATCTCTTTCAATTCTCAGAATGAATGAAACTTATTTGGGGCAGAAGGGCTGTTCGCATCAAACTTCAATACCGTTTTTATTTTGTTACATAATAGATATCAGGATAAGAGGGACTCTTCCCTGGTCTGAATAAAATAAAAGAAAGATCCAATATATTCAATTATACAGTGTCATTTAAAAAGTTGGCATCATATGGATTTGAGTTGAAAGAAAAAACTTGAAAGTTCCACAATAACTTGCAGTAGGTACTCACCAATGAAGCACAAGACCAGAAGTGTAACTGCAATTATTGCTTGCGATGCGCCATACACGAAATTCGGGTCTTTTTTCTTGAAATGTGTATCGTCTTTACTGTCAAACACTAGAAGGAGAGCGCATATAAGCACTGGTACCCTAAAAAATAGTAGATTGTTTTATTAGGATCAAAAGTGACACTTTGTTTGACAAGCGAATTTTGCATTTGCGAGGCGGAGCGTTTAGCGAAGCCGAGCGAAAGCAAAATTTGCGAGTCGAACAATGTCACTTTTGATCCGAATGAAACATGCTATTTTTTCTGCAACCGAAACAATTAACTCAAATAAATATTGGGAGTAACCACCAATGCCGTGCCATATGTATATGCAATGCAACAAATATTGACAAATTATCCGTGTGGTGAGAATATTCTACCTGCATTAACAGCAGGTTTATTCAATCTTCAAGGATGTTCGAATTGTAGTTTCAATATAAATACAACCACAGAGTGACATATTTGTGTATGGACCAGGTGCTCTAATGGCAAATACCGCGCCAGTGCCAGCTATAGGAACATGAAGTGGAAAATGATAGGTTATTGAGGATAATAATCTCCCGCCTCAATAATAGAGATTATTTATTCCTCTCCATACTACACTGTGTTTGACTTCATTATCAACTGAAACTAAACAATATCCTTGTTTGTGACAAATAAACTATTGCTTGCCGTGATTAATCAAAAACAAGTTATCCATCCCGAGAATAACGAATGAAATACAGATCAAGCAAGTATTTGAATATTGAAGGCTTCCCTGATCAAAACAAAAATACTTAACTGAGATGTATATAATTCCAATACTTAACTATAATAAGGTGTATTTATATCACCAGCATCGGTATGAAATACCAAATCTGCCGAAATCGGAAACAAATCAGGTATGCGTCTCAACCCAAATAACCAACCGTCACAATGTTGTTTATTCTTGATGACGTCCAGTACATCGTTTTTAGTTCCTAGGAGCCAAAGTTCAACTTTAGCTCCTAGGAACTAAAGTTCAACTTTAGCTCCTAGGAACTAAATATGTTGCCTAGCAACATACCTCTTTTTGTGTCAGTAATAGAAACGTCAATTTGAGAGCTGATTTTGGTATCAAAATGGACGACTTTTGTGTCGGTTGCAGAAAAAAATAATTAGCCATCACAACATATAGATTTTTTAGGTTTAGCTTGGAAATATTGACGTATAGTAGTAAATATCAAATAAAAAATATCACAAAACGATGAATTATGGAAGAAAAAGGATGTTCAGCTTTGGAAATCATCCTTAACGATTATTTAGTTGATTCCTATAATGCGAGTATCTCGAAAACTGTTAAGTTTTGGAATTAATAACAAGTATAACTTTTTCTCTTCACATGATGTCTTAAATATTTTTCAATAGAAATGGCGCCAAACTAAACAGCAATCAACTTTTTCAAGTACAAAAATGGATTATGCATCCAAAAACCCCTAGTTTATTATGGAAGAAGTAGTTGGAATAAAATTTCCTGTGCCTTTGGTCTCATAATATGATGCAAGTCATCGTATATTTTTTAATTTTGAAATCATAGTTCAAAGTGTAACATTTTTTTTGTGTATGCCTTACCCCCAACCAATACCAATGAAAATAGGCTGCAGTTTGAGAACAAAACATAGGCTCCTACACTGTAAAAAGAGCAATGTAATAGCCAATATCATTGTCCATAGTCTGCAACTATACACTCCAATGCTGAAGAGAGAAAACTGGACATATCCTGACCATCCATCATTTTGTTTTAGTGTGTTCCATAAAATTGCGCCAAGACATGCAAAAAGCTGTAAAGTAAGAGATACATTGAAATTTCAATTCATTGAAAAAATATAATGATCAGTAAGAAATGAAATTATTGTGATTCCATCTTACTTGAGAAATCGCTAGGGCTGTAGTGATCTTATGTGGTACCCTGAATATTTTCTTGGTTAGAATGAAAACCAAGATTACCCAAATGGAGGTGATGAACCCCAAAATGCTGACGTCAAATGTGAAAGCATTCAGTTCCTTGATATATTCAGAAGGGTTGCAATTTGTGAGAGTTATCATTTTTGCAGACACAAACATCAAGGGAGCACTCACAAATGTACAGACAACCATGGCACTAGCAATCTGGAATAAAATGTTTGTCCAATTGTTGATCAGCTAGTGATTAATTTTTACATATTGAATTAAATGGGGAAGTTTCCTTCAGATGAATTTCCATAAAATAAGCTCGGAACTCTCTAGTTTTATGTACACGCTGTACAGAATGGCGACCGATAAAGTCCAAGTCGTTTTCATTTTCAAATTAAAGCAATTTCTAATTCTCGGGGAGGCAAACAGTGACGTACATTTTGAATCTAGTCTGAAAATAGCTGATGGTGAAGAATATAGCTAGCGAATAGCTAACGAATGAAAAACTAATAAAAAAATAGAAAAAGAAGTGAACAAAAACATACATAACCACAAATGCAATCGGAGCAGGAATGCAGAGGGTAGTTGGCTTCATTCTGACAGGTTATGGTTATGTTATTTATGCATTGAAATATCTCGAATACGGCTCGATCCTAAACGAAAATATCATTGAATCCATGAATGTCTATCGGCTACATTCAATGATACTATCCTTTCTAATTTACTGCCATCGGTCAGAACAGAATGAAGCCGACACCCATGGCTCCTTCCTCTTGTTGGGCCTGTCAGTATTTTGAGTGGTGTGGACGGACTCACGACAGACTAGAAGTATTAGGCGCTGTTGCAAGATATAATCTGCAAAACTCACTAGCAAAAAAATGACTGACAAGTTATGAATAACATATTGTGATATAACGATAGTGAAAAATTATAGATACTAATATACTATCGCAAAATATCATAATTTATCAAAGTAGGATTTAAGAACCTATTACCTATATCCTATTGCTGTTACAGTTATTATGCATTCAAAGAACAATTTCCGGAAATCTAGATATATTGATGATGTTGGCAACGTTGTACTGGCACAGTCAATCGCATTTTAACTCTGTGTGAATGTGGATTTTCAGAAAGTAAGTCATAGGAATGGTGGAGGAGCCAAGTTCCTCTTTTATTTATTTTTTTCTGAAGTAAAATTTGATCTTACGAAAAAAAGAAAAAATACGTATATACTATTTTTTTACAAACTTCAGTTAGATAAAAACGTCAATATAGGAAACTTCCCCATTGGCATTTACTCGATGAAAATTTATTATAATTATTTTCAGATTCATTTTTGAACATTCAGGCGAGTTGTTTCCTCATTGTATTAATTTTTAGTTTAAAATGAATATCAATAGTATTGGAGTCCAGCCCCTACATAGATAGTACAGGGTCATTCCGTATATTTATCAAAACAGAGCTTCTACAGTGTTCATCATTGATGTTCTGAACCTCTAGAAAATTATACGAGGTGAAACAAATGAATATCGCTGATATAAGAAATGGGTACCAACTTTGTATTTTCAATGGAAAACCCTATATATTTTTCGAAAAAAAGATCTTTCTTTCCTGATTTCAAAAATATATAGGCTCTTGAACGTTTTGAAAACGGCTAAACCGAATATCACCAACCTACAGGGTGGGCCACCAGTAACGCCTTGGTCTCTAAAAGGCTAACCACTTATCTTCTTGGAATTCTTCCTCTCTAGGAAGATGCATGTCAACATAGGCTACCATTTAAAATTATTTTGAAACATACAGGATGTCCCCAAAAATCACAAAACACTGAAGTTGAACTTTTTTCAATCGAACACCTTATATATTATTTCATTTTGAGATTCTCCCTGGTGAGCTGATTTCAACAATCCATCATACTCGGGGTCTAGCAGTTATAATTACTGAGATATAGGGTGTGAGAAATCGAGATTTTCCAAGTTCAAGAATTTTTTGTGTCTAAACCATTGATAATTGGTCAAAACGGCTCACATGTCCCTATCTCAACTTTTGATCAACTATCTACTGACATTTAATTGAAACAAATACAGGGTGGTGCAGAATTCAGAATCTTGATCACCCGGTATATGTCCCAATTAAATATCAGTAGATAGTTAATCAAAAGTTGAGATAGGGACATGTAAGCCGTTTTGACCAATTATGAATGGTTTACACAAAAAATTCTTGAACTTGGAAAATCTCGATTTCTCACACCCTATATCTCAGTAATTATAACTGCTAGACCCCGAGTATGATGGATTGTTGAAATCAGCTCACCAGGGAGAATCTCAAAATGAAATAATATATAGGGTGTTCGATTGAAAAAAGTTCAACTTCAGTGTTTTGTGATTTTTGGGGACATCCTGTATGTTTCAAAATAATTTCAAATGGTAGCCCATGTTGACATGCAACTTCCTAGAGCGGAAGAATTCCAAGAAGATAAGTGGTTAGCCTTCTAGAGACCGAGGCGTTACTGGTGGCCCACCCTGTATATATTTTTTAAATCAGAAAAAAAAGATCTCCATTTTTTTTCAAAAAATATATCGGTGTTCCATTTAGCATAACGAACTTGGTACTCATTTCTTATATAGCAACGATATATATTTGTTTAGCCTTGTACAATTTTCTGGAGGTTCAGATGAGCCCTGTAGAAGCTGTTTAAATATACGGAATGACCATGTACAATGGTAGCCAGCGAGCGAGAAAATGTATATACGAAGTGCAGCAGTTATTTGAAAAGTATCTTCTTGAGTATCCCCATCTCCATGCTATTTTCATTCATGTAACGATAGTACTTCTAGACACAAATAGATCCGATGAAAGCGCGCCAAGGCATGATAAATGTTCATAAAGGGGTTACTAGGTGAGGATAATGATGAGAGTAGTTGAATTTCATTAGATTCTGTTCTTGTTAAGTGGGCAAGTCAGGTGAAATGCCTATAGGTAAATACTTTTCAAAGGGGATTGAATCAAATTGATTATTTTGACGCTGCTCTTCTCAGGAATAATTTGTTCACATCATAGTTGATTATCTGAAATTTATTATTGAATGTCAGAGAAACATTTCAGTATTCTTTAGGAAGTTTTGTGTATGTAGTATAATTTATTATGATCCCATTAGGAATAATGAAACAACTCTATCAGTAGGAAAATTATGGGTAAATCAAGGGTACTTACTAAATCTACATCTATAGAATACTGTGTAGCAAAAACAAATACTGTGGGAGCACTAGGAAAAGTTCCATATAAAAATCCATAAGTGCTCAGATCCAAATTTTCAGATTCATTATAACCAGCATGTATCATACTTACAACCTCTCTAGTCACAAGAGGAAGAACAATTCTAAGGAAAAAATGTTATACTAATAATTCAGAAATACTGAGATTGAAATGTCTTCTTACAATTTAACCATTATTAAAATTCCTGGAACTACTAAGGTTGCACCTCTCAGCTTGTGTACTTTGCCAACCATGCGTAAACCTAACAAAAACAGTGCACTTGCAGAAAAAGCTGAACCCAATACCTGGAAAAATATTATATAAGTACCAAGTAATTATTTTCAAAGAAATAAAATATAAATATTACCTGTAGAGTTCCACTAAAAACTGTTGGAACTTTGTGCTTAAAAATAAAATTTCCTAAAATACCCAAGATAGTCATCAAAATAATAGGATTGAAAAAAATATTTTTAGCAACAGCCACAGCCACTTTACATCTCTCTTTGTGTAAATTTTCAGAGTTTGGTATGTCCCCATCTCTGATAGATAACTGTGAGCTTTCTGGTTGCCTATGCTTCCCTATTTCCATCAAAATGAAGGAAATTGGATTCAAAATAGCCAAGCTTATAGGTGCCATAAGATATAAATAGGTAGCATATTCTGGATGTGTTGTTTTATACAAAGCTACAACTAAATGAATAAAAATGAGATGATAATTATGTAACACACATGAAGGAGTTGTTTTTCTTACCAATTGGGTAGCCAATAGCAAAATCATTGCTCTGTGTACAAAAAATTGCAAAAATACCAGCACGGCCAAACTTCAGAGGTCTACCTACTAATAAACTAACAATTATCACAGTAAAAAATACAATACTTTTTGCTATTAGTATTGATAGTAGGAATAGCCAGTTCACTTGATCAAGTTCCAATTCAGCTAGAGACATAAATATGAGAGAAGGCAGTGCAAAAGTTCCAACAAATGTGTTTATGCCTTTTGCTTCTGTTTCTGAGATAAGATTCATTCTGCCAGCTGAATAGCTAGAAAAGACGGATTAATAGTCAATTCCTGACTCAGTAATAAATAAATGTTCTTACCCGCATATTATTATAATAAAACATTGTGCTAAAGCTGGATACAAGTTGTCAATAGCTGTCCCAGTGGTGTCTTCCTCCATTTTATAAACAAATACTGGAAATTTTATCATTCATTAATTACACATACCTAACATCTGCCCACTCAATATAGAGGAGAAAATCAATAAATTCCTGCAAACAAAAAGTATTGGACATTATATTCCATTTTCCATTATCAGTTGTCGGGAAATATTAATAAGGGGTATGGGAGTACCTACTACAGTATTCCATTTATTATTTTATTTTAGTAAACATTTAGTTTCAGACATGAATACACTGCCGTACCAATAAATTTTGGAATCACATCTTCACTCTTCAGCACTCAGCAGATATTTTCAAAATATAAACAAGAATGAGAAGGAATATCAGGGAATATTTTTGCTTCTCGTCTTGTTTTGACAAACATATGATTTTGAAGTTAAGGTCATGTCAATGATGATGTCAATGTCAAATGATGACAAAGGTCAGCTGTTCTACCCTAACCTCAAATTTTAGTTACATAAACGTCAGGATGTTCTTTTCAAAGCTCAAAAACTCATTATCCTTAAAGTTTTCCTACCCGATTTCCACAAATATCAAGTTGAGTGTACGACATGTATCAAATACGGAAACATTGGAACCAGTCAAGATGTCCTATGCCAGTTATGAAAGCACTGTTTCGGAAGGACATGATCAGGCAAGCCCATTGATAATAATGCATGGTCTTTTCGGTTCCAAATCGAATTGGAACAGCCTATGCAAAGCATATAACCAAAAATCCAACCCGCCCAGAAAAATAATAGCAATTGATGCCAGAAATCATGGAGACAGTCCTCATAATGAACACCACTCTTATGCCCATTTGGCTGCTGATATCAAAGCTCTATTTGAACAGTTATCAATTTCTAAAGCCACCTTGATGGGACATTCAATGGGTGGTAGGGCTGTGATGCTTTTTGCTCTGAAATATGTAAGTAAATTTTTTTGGATCTAGTAATATTAGTAGAGGTGTTGCTGTTTTAGCCTGAACTTGTTGATAGGTTAGTGGTTGTGGATATTTCACCTGTAACAGATAGTCCCAATATGAATAATTTGCCTGATCTCTTTCGGGCTTTAGAAACAGTGAGTCTACCAACAGAGGTATCTATGTCTCAAGCCAGGATCTTGGCTGATTCACAGTTGGAAAAATACATTTCCAGCAAGGAGTTGAGGTCATTTTTATTGACTAACTTGGTTCAAAGAGACAATGGAAGGTGAGATTATCAATTATGTAAAAGGACCAAGAAGTTTTACCAGAGAGAAACTTTACTGTTTTTCTTTTTTTGCTTGCCAACCAATTTAATACCAGTAGTCCAATAAATGAAGGAGGAAAAACAGGCAAAGTTAACGTTAATTACGCACTATTTTCATCTTCCGGTTGGAAATAGCTTTTGGTAACTCATTAAACATGAGACAAAGTTTGACTGGAAAACGCGTGCGATGGCGGAGAAAATGGTTCCAAAATACCAGGAAAATAGGTTTTCAGCCAATATCTCCTAAAATATGGCAGTTAGAGATTTTCGGTTCAGATAAAAATTGAAGTTCAGTTAATTTTCTACAAAAATGGTTCTCATCATTTTTCTCGAAAATTTGCCCGGTTTCGAGAAAAACGGCACGAAGCGCACCTCGAATAATGAGCTTCTGTGTTGTATGCCGGAGAGCACAGTCCGTGTATTTACACATCGGCGGGGGGACAAATTATTCAATAACTTTGTTAAAAATACATATTTTCTCATGATTCAAAGTTCATGTGAAAGAGGAATTCTGCTGCTATCATACCCTGCGTGGCCGCATGGTTTGTAGCAGACGACCCGAGCGCCACGTAGAGCACACACGCGGCGAACGACGGAGGAACGAAAGTAATAAATTATAGCGTGTACATTTAGATATACTGGTTTTTTCCCGGGATATCAAAGGTATGACTTATATACATCGATGGAAAGGTGGGATTTCCCCCGTTACACTAGTTGAGGTGTTGAAATGTTAGAAATAAAGAGCACGGAGAAAAAAACCACCGAAAAAAAAAGTGCGTTTTTCCTTGACCCTGCTTTTTCTAATTTTATTGAAAAATGGACGACTTCGTCTAAAAAAGTAATTGCACAATCGAAAAGTAGACCTTCTTAGCTTTCAAATGATGTATCATAGAAACCAATCGGATCATGTATAAATTTTTAATTGATGGTTGTTCACAAAATTTCCCCGCGCTCCAAAAACAGCAAAAAATTGGTTCAATAAACAAAGATTAAATGAAAATTTAAAAAAATTAGGGTATACAAATTTCAGGGATTACAAAGGACCTTATGAGGACCCATAATCAAGAGAATTTTGAGTAAATTGGTGCAATACAAAAAAAATTGGAACAAATTCCTGGCGAGGTCAAAATTGACCGGGAGCAGAAAGTTTGACCCATGTTCCGATATGGCCAAAAGAGTCAAGCGTGACTCAATTCACAGGGTATGATAGCAGCAGAATTCCTCTTTCACATGAACTTTGAATCATGAGAAAATATGCATTTTCAACAAAGTTATTGAATAATTTGTCCCCCCTCCGATGTGTAAATACACGGACTGTGCTCTCCGGCATACAACACAGAAGCTCATTATTCGAGGTGCGCTTCGTGCCGTTTTTCTCGAAACCGGGCAAATTTTCGAGAAAAATTATAAGGACCATTTTTGTAGAAAATTAACTGAACTTCAATTTTTATCTGAACCGAAAATCTCTAACTGCCATATTTTAGGAGATAGTGGCTGAAAACCTATTTTTCTGGTCTTTTGGGGCCATTTTCTCCGCCATCGCACGCGTTGTCCAGTCAAACTTTGTCTCAAGTTTAATGAGGTACCAAAAGCTACTTCCAACCGGAAGATGAAAATAGTGCGTAATTAATGTTAACTTTCTCCCTTTATTTATTGGACTACAGGATATATTTTCAAATTCAAAAACATAGATTTTGTGGCTAATTCAAAATCAAATTGTTTACTAATAAAATGAATATTTTTTTCAAGGTATGATTGGAGGGTGAATATTTCAGCTTTATTAAAAAATTACAACAATATTGCCAAATTTCCACTAGTTAATGAATTACAATATGATGGACCAACACTCTTTCTAGCTGGGACCAACTCTGATTTTGTACAGTAAGTATTCTATCAACATTACTATTCCAGCTGAAAATTTCCACAAAAATGTTCTCAATGTATCATAATGATGGTTTGGCATATTGTCATGTGTTTTGTACTTGGAAAATGACAAGGAAAATGATGATTTTTTAATGTAGGAACATAGTTGTTATTAGAGAACCACCCTGTATCACTAGATATGTTGATCATGCCTCATTTTAAAATTTTTGACAACTGTTCCAACCAGATTGAATGGAACATACCCAAGGAATTAGAGCATCAAATTATGCATTATTTATACAGGGTGATCCACGGTAGATGGTGTATTAGAAGTATCTGGAGAACTAAAAGACAGAACATTCTGAAAATTAGGATGCTTCGATAATAGAACATTCTCTATCCGTCTAAAATATTTTCATTGATACAGTGTTGCCACTTCTATCGGAAACAACTAGCAACTTCGTTATTTTAAATGGAGCACCCTGTATTTTATTGCATTTTTAGATTCTTCCTGAAGAGCTGATTTCATCAATGTATCACACTTGGGGTCTAGCAGCAATAATTACAGAGATATAGGGTGTTCAAAATCGCAATTTTTCAATTTTAGAATTTTTTTTGTGTAGAAACTATTCATTAGCGATCGAAACGTCTTACATTTCCCTATCTCAACTTTTGATTCACTATCTACTGGAATTTAATTGGAAGAAATCCAGGGTGCTTCAAGATTCAGAATTCCGATCACCCTGTATCTGTTCAAATTTAATGTCAGTAGATAGTGAATCGAATATTAAGATAGGGACATGTAAGCCGATTTGATCTATAATGAATAGTTTCCACACAAAAAAATCCTAAAATTGAAAAATCTCGATTGTGAACACCCTATATCTCTGTAATCATTCCTACTAGACCCCAAGTGTGATGCATTGATGAAATCAGCTCTTCAGGAAGAATCTAAAAATGCAATTGAATACGGGGTGTTCCATCTGAAATAACAAAGTTGCTAGTTGTTTTTGATAGAAGTGGCAACACTGTATCGATGAAAATATTTCAGATGGATAGAGAATGTGCGATTATCAAAGCATCCCAATTTTCAGAATCTTCTGTCTTTTCGTTCTCCAGATAATTCTATAATAGGCCATCCACCATGGATCACCCTGTATTTATCTAATGAGTCATACAACATCAAGGTAGTAAAATTTCAGCCGATTTGACCAAGAGCCAGTTTGCCATGTTTCCGTGCGGGGTCCTTTGCTGAATTGCGGTCTGAGATGTGTACCCCCTGTATATAGATATTACGTTCGTCATGTTCGTCACTCCTGTCATTCATCAGCAGTCAGTCACCAAATTCCTGTCATCATCACACCATCATCAAGAAATGTTCTCTCGCCATCATGTGAAAAGTTTATCGAGAATCATGAATCAGCCCGTGATCATACAGTCGCTGAAACACAAATCCTCTAATCGCCCCCATTTTTCAACCGACGAAGACCCTCTGGAGCTGGCTTACGCGTCGTACGAACCCACGGAAAGCTACTCGAAAACCAACCCCGAACCCACCCCTCTGATAGTCCTGCACGGGTACATGGCATCGAAAAACCACTGGAATAGTTTTTGCAAGAAATGCCACGAGAATACCAAGTCGAAAGTGGTGGCGATCGATGCCAGGAATCACGGGGATTCCCCGCATCACAGCGAAAATTCCTATGATAGTTTGGTGGTCGACGTTCGTCGGTTTATGGAGAGGATGGGGTTGAAAAAGGCGAATTTCTTGGGGCACTCGATGGGGGGCAGGACCGCTATGCTCTTCGCCCTCAAATATGTAATTATCATATATCTACTATTTCTATATATAGCGCATCGCCTATATGATATCTCAACGAAAATGGGACCAAAATGAGAGGTACTTTTTGAATCTATAGGTCGCGTGCACGATAACCGACCCTGGAGGCAAAATATTGAAACACAACACACAACCTCATTCTTCTGTGAATTATTGAAACACAACCTCACTTTTTTATTTGGTTACAGAGGAATCAAAGGATTGAAATAGTTTTTCACAATATTTTGGCATACGAATCGTGTTTTTTGCGCTATTCATTAATTCAAGCATGCCTTCGCATTGTGCTGTTGTACAATGCACAAAAAATGCAGCAAAAGATTAAGGAATATGATTTTTCAGGTAAATAGTAATCTCACATAGTTATCATTATGAAATGTTGTCATTTCTTATTAAAATTCCTTCTGCCTTCTGCCACTCTTGCAATACAAGCTAATACTGCTAATAGATTGAAAATGTCTACAACACACATGATCATATTTCGTCAGCATGTCAGACCAGTCCTCCCGTTTGATTGCATGAATCCAATCTTGCATTCTTTTAGAAATTTCAGGTGTATTTCTATTAGCACCTATCGCAGAAGGAATTCCGATGAGAAATCAGAGAAATTACCAAATTTCAAAAATGAAAACTATAGGTGTATAGTGACTATAGTAGGTACTTACTTTTAAATCATAATGTACCATCCGGATTCCTTCGTCTTCCGCTGCAGTTTTTGTGCATTTTACAACAGCACAATGTGATGGCATGAGCGAATTGATGAATAGCGGAAAAATACGATTCGTATGCCAAAATAATTGTGAAAAACTATTTCGATCACTTGTAAATAAATAAGAAAAGTGACATTGTGTTTCATTGTTTTGCCTCCAGTGTTGGTCATCTGACAGTTCTTGCACGCAACCCATAAGGACGGAATGTGAAGGATGGAAACTGCTGACGTGAGGTTCAGATTTTAAGTTAGGTTAGGTTCGTGAATAATTATTCGATCATAAGGAAATATTAAAAATCATCAATTGTTGATAATAGCACAGTATATAGTACCTTTGTGCCGGTCAATATATGAACAAGAACATTTGAAAATCCAAACTTACTTATGAAAAGAGGATTTCTGTCTATGCTGCATTTCGTTCCACTAGCCATGCTTAAAAAAGTTCAGTCTATGAAAAATGAACGAAAACACAAACACTAAAGAATTTTACAACTAATACGACAATATACGACAGACAATATTCGAATTCCAATCACATAAGCACTAAAACCAATTTAAAAATTTGAAATTCGTAGCCATATTGGTTTAACAAGTTTCATATTATTTTTTCCCTACGTCGGCATCAACGCCTATTGGTCGATTTCATTAGATATAGAGACAGAAGTTGGTCCCGCTTTGAGGACAGCTATGCTTCATTATACAGGGTGTTTCACAGGTAAAGGGAAATATTTCAATGGTAGATAGGGGTCACCAAGGTGGTTCTGAAAATACCATATTTGATAGGTCTTAGAGTTTTCATAACGGAGATACAGGGCAATTTATCGATTTCGAATAATTATTCATTCGTCTATAAGTATTGAACTACCTAGTATATTTTTCTAAAATTTGGTATGGAGCTTAAACTTGGGACGTTGAATTCATTCACCTATCGGGCGAAGAGAAAATCCAGGTTCGGCTTCAGGAAAAATTCACATTTATTCGAAATATTGAAATAACACACTGTATGTAATAATTGACAGAGTTCATCAAAAAAATCCTAAAGAGGAAGAAAAACTGAACTGGATTTGATGCGTTTTGTTTTCCCGCCACCAATTCTCATCGTAACAATCATAAACAGAAAGCTGAAAGTATGTCAATTTGAAGAGTATTGAAATTATGAAACCAGTGTCAATTATGATTATTCGATATATTTTAGTCAAAAAATCGCTCGAAAGAACTTACTAGGTCTCACAGTTTTTATAACGGAGATACAGGGTGAATTATCGGTTTTGAATAACTATTCACTCGTCCATAAGTATAAAACTACCCAGTGACATTTTCTCAAATATGGTATGTAGCTTACTTGGGACGATGGATTCATTAACCTATCAGGCGGAATTATAATTCGATAATTCACCCTGTATCTCTGTTATAAAGACTATGAGACTTAACCTGAAGCTGAACCTGTATTTCTATTCTACCAAATTTGAGAAAATATTACTGCGATGGGTAGTTTAATACTTATGGACGAGTGATAATTCACCCTGTATTTCTGTTATGAAGACTGTGAGACTAAGTAAGTTCTTTCGAACGATCATTTAACAAGAATATATCAAATAATCATAATTGAAAGTGGTTTCATAATATTAGTACTCTTAAAATTGACATACTTTTAGCTTCCTGTTTATGATTGTTACGATGAGAATTGGTGGCGGGAAAACAAAGAGCATTAAATCCAGTTCAGTTTTTCCTCCTCTTCACGATTCCTTTGATGAACTTTGTCAATTATTACATACAGTGTGTTATTTTAATATTTCGAATAATTGTGAATTTTTCCTGAAGCCGAACCTGGATTTTCTCTTCGCCCGATAGGTGAATGCATTCAACGTCCCAAGTTTAAGCTCCATACCAAATTTTAGAAAAATATACTGGGTAGTTCAATACTTATAGACAAATGAATAATTATTCGAAATAGATAAATCGCCCTTGTATCTCCGTTATGAAAACTCTAAGACCTATCAAATATGGTATTTTCAGAACCACCTTGGTGACCCCTATCTACCATTGAAATATTTCCCTTTACCTGTGAAACACCCTGTATATAGAGTAGTAGATATATAATGATAATCAATAAATCAATGGCAAACAAATTTACCAGGAATACAATTTCGAATTTGCTAATTTGATCGCCCTGTCACTTTTTTGATTCTTGTCCGATTCTGGCGAAATTTCCACTAAATCGTATATTCATATTTAGTTATGTTAACATGTATTTTGGTTCCCAAGAAAAGCTTCAAAAACTAACGCTTTTACAACACATTATTGTTAAGGGGATGAAAATTTTTTTACTTTCTTACTCTCCTATCTTCTCTCAAAAAGAATATATCGACGTGAATAAAAAACCATTGGGTTAAGAAGGGACTTCAATCCAAAACATAATGAAACAAAGTTTAACCACTCATTTTTTTCATTTTTCCCTGTATAATGAAGGAAGAAAAATTCACTCCGAAACATGAATCTACGATTTGGTCGAAGTTTCGTCAGAATTGGACAAGAACTAAAGAAGTTACAGGGCGATCGATTTCGCAAACTTTTTTCAGGCCGATTTTTTTTGCCGGTAAGTATATATATTTGCATTAATTTCAGCCAGAACTTGTAGAAAAATTGATAGTTGCCGATATCTCCCCTATTTCGACCAGTCCAGAACTCAAACAGCTCCCTAAACTCCTTTACTTCATCAGAAAAATTGAAATTCCGGAAAAAACTAGTCTTGCAGAGGCTAGAAAGTTGATCAGTCAAAAAATCTTCACTGTTTTACCAAATAAACAATTGGTTCAATTCATGCTAAGCAATTTGGTGCAGAAAACTCAAGGAAGGTATGTTTAATCGAACTTTTTTAAGATTTAAATAGCCAGAAGAGTTACTCAAAAATGCGAATATATTATCTATAAGTAGTGATTCATATGTTTCCTATAACCATATGTCATCGTAGATACTTTTTAACGGCTTCATCTTTGGCAGATGACTCAGTGTAGAGTCCCTGTATATACCTTAGACAAGAGTCCGGACACAAAACTGACAGCCGTTGGGGTTTTTAATATTTTGTTTCATTTGGTTTGACCACCTGACAATGTGACGAAACACCATAGTCGTCCCGCCCGCTTTTTTTAATTATTCCGAATGTCTATCACTGTCACTTTGGAATTTTATGACCGCCAAAATTCAGCATTTCAAATTATTTGTCCTGCTGCGTACATTATTGCGATAATTCATTAGAAAAGGGATTCAATTCTCCGAATGATCCTTCAAAGACAATGTCATGGAAGAATGCAATGACGTCCAGAATGGAAAATTAATTTCAAGAAATCCGCAATATGTGAGGTAAATATTCAAATTTACTTGTGAAAACAGTACAAAAAAGAATGCATTTTAGGCCCATTTTGATAGAGATTTTTTCAAGCTGATGGATTTCAAATTGAAAAAGTCTGCTGTGCCGTCAATTTATGAAATAGAGACGTTCAAAAAAAGAGTTCCGTCGTCATCGTATTGGGAATTACTGAATGATACGTTCGCAGAGAAAGAAAATGAGAATGAGATAAAGCGGAGAGAAATTGAAAGTTTGAAATCAAAACTCGAATCAAAACTAGAAGATTTAGGGAAACTGCAATGTGCTATATCATCAGTCCACGGTGTCATTAATTCAGATCCAGTTCAAAATGTACAGGTGAATGTAGACTGCAGGAAGAGGTGGGAAACACAATTAATAAAGCACTCGCTATCAAATATATTGTTGTTTTGATTTTGTCACTTTTATTTCTGATGAGTGTTATTAAATTGAGAGAATCGGAGAAAATTATATTGAAACAATTATATATCTTCTATTTTTTTATATCCGAACAAAAAACAACTATATTTTCTTGGCTATATGTGATACCACGTAGAACACTTAAATTATCTTTCTTATATCTGATGAAGTGAAGAAATATCTGATGACAAAAATTTGCAATAGCCATCTCAGGAATTGATTATGAAAATTATCGATTCGAAATTTGAACACCTTGTTGTTCATTATTCGAAAATCTATATAATAGTTATTCTATAGTTAAAATAGCCCTATTTCTCACTTCTACCTACGGCTATGAACGTTTTGACAAATAATCTAACCCTCAAAATTGTTTCTGACAATCATTGATACTAGGGGAATTGAGAAGACAGATCTCGATATATATGTCTTATTCCTTTATTCAGGCTATATTCCGAATTCAACTGGTCAGTACTGTAAGTTGATCCACTGACTCTGCTGAAAATCTGTGTTCCGAATTATAAAATCAAAAATTCACTACTGTAATTCGGGACACGTTTTCATGGTTTTCATCAGTAGTAGTTTCTCGTTTATCTGAACTAGATGTTTAGCCTCCTACTTGTTATAAATTTTGGAAATTTAATATTTAGCATGGAAGAGAAATCGATTCTTGTATCCTCTATAGTTTCTACGATTGTTGACGATGGCGATTCAAGCTCGAGTGATGAAGAATACTTGGACATTTTGTTGCCATAAATTTCTCATGATGCACCAGATTGAGAATTGAGATTCATGAAAATCGCAATATGCCTTAATAATGATGAATTTTAGGAGACATTCTATCAGGTTTATTTAGTTCATTTAGACAATGCTGCTCCTTTCCTTACCTGCTCTACTACTTCATAATCCAGGTATTTTCTGATATTGAGAATCATTTCATTAATAACGGAAATGAATGTTACATTCTTTCCCCCTCTAAAATATGACAGTTCACTGAAGCCACACTACCTTTTGATACTCAGCAATTTCAGCAGAATGTTGAGTCGAAATATTTGGAATGAATAGTATCTCTGCTGACAAGCATCTGTCACTTCCAGTGAATTTTTTGATTTCGGAATGGAAAATCAGCAGATTCAGTACTGTCAGTTGAATTCGGAATATAGCCTCAATCATCAATGCATTTTTTGAAAACAGAAAAGGACAGAAGTATAGCTGTGTCTGGACTCTTGTCTAAGTTATATACAGGGACTCTAACTCAGTGATATTATGTCCATTGAAATTCATTTGTATACATTCAACACCAAGTATCTCTACAGGGTGTCTGTTTTTCGAGCACCACCATGGGGATATCAGTCGGTTGAATTAAAATTTCATGCTAAACATTTATCTGCAAGAAAATTTGATGTCATTTTTGGTTTTTGAATTATCGGAAGAAAATTGAGTTTTTATTTTTCCAAGCGGAAACCAAGATACCTAGACGTTTCTGACTGGGACATTCTCGAGGCACTATTTCACAAGGAATCTTAATCTGTCTTGACGTTCTCGATACCAAACTTACAACACACAACATTGTTTTTTCTGTGACGGGAAAAAAAATTGGCATTTCATCTCTGTTGGCAGGTTATGAAATGTCACTTTTCATAAATTAATTTTTTCCCGGATATATCTCACATATACAGGGTGATTCACATAAGAACCGACATAGAGCAGGGGCATGTAGGGGGTCCCAAAATATGGCAATTCAACGCAACTCACCTCTATCCGAACTTGCTTCCCTAAGCAGTTATAGGCTTTGAAAGTGAAGTTATAAATTTTGAAAAAAATCAATATCTCCGTTATTCTTGAACTTAAAGCAACCAAATTTGGTAAACTTTGTGGATGTATTTAGGGCGTTACTTGACAGTAACTAGAGCTTAATTGAAATTTGTAAAGGGGGTATACCGGGTGGCGCACCATTAATATTCAACAGAATTTTGTTAACCCTTGATGGATTTCAAAAATCTTTGCTTTGTTGTGTGGGCAATTCAATTCTAAAACTTTTACTCTAGTAATTTTTCGAAAAACCCCATCATTTTCATCAAAAACTCGAATAACTGAAAACACGCGCTCTAGGTGTGTTATTTAAAATCATCGAAAATTCAAAAGTTGGCTATGAAAATAAACGTACAACAAGAAAGTAGGTCATTAATTGTGATAAGTAGAAATTGGCTGGCAAATTATTATTTAGATACGTAACAAAATACGTAGTAAGGACAGATACTGAAATGTGAAAAACTGGGATTAACAACTAACCAAAATAAACACAAAAAACTTAAACAACAACCAGAACAAACAATTGTTTATCGATAAATTACTTAATTGAACAACTTACTTGCTTCATTGTCAAGTTTGACGTTTATTTTCATAGCCAACTTTTGAATTTTCGATGATTTTAAATAACACACCTAGAGCACGCGTTTTCAGTTATTCGAGTTTTTGATGAAAATGATGAGGTTTTTCGAGAAATTACTAGACAAAGAAAAGTTTTAGAATTGAATTGCCCACAAAATGAAGCAAAGATTTTCAAAATCCATCGAGGGTTAACAAAATTCTGTTGAATATTAATGGTGCGCCACCCGGTATACCCCCTTTACAGATTTCAATTAAGCTCTAGTTACTGTCAAGTAACGCCCTAAATACATCCACAAAGTGTTCCAAATTTGGTTGCTTTAAGTTCAAGAATAACGGAGATATTGATTTTTTTCAAAATTTATAACTTTACTTTCAAAGCCTATAACTCCTTAGGGAAGCAACTTCGGATAGAGGTGAGTTGGGCTAAATTGCCATATTTTGGGACCCCCTACATGCCCCTGCTCTATGTCGGTTCTTATGTGAATCACCCTGTATATATACACTGTTGATGACTTTTGTTATGCTATAGTTCCGAAAAATGAGTCAATAATACCGTCTCCGAGAAAGAACTGCAAGTCCTTTTATCTTCCATGCGACTTCGCGGTTACGTGTATTACTAAATAACCACTAAATTCGCAATTTTTTGAAATCAAATCACAGAATTAGACTGACAGAAGTGACATCAGATATGTGATTACTTCAAAAGAATGATAAAGATACCTACCACGCAGGTGTCCCTACTGTTAAAAACTTGAAATTTCACGTCGATAATCTTCAGATTTCAACATAATGTAATATCTTCTCAATATTGATCCGTTGCTTCTTTTGTCACAGAAAAAAATAGTGCATTATACAGGGGAAAAATATTAGATTTTAGCTCCAGGTTGTGTTGTCTCCCGACGCTCGAAAAACGGGCACCCTGTATATTTCATATTATATCAAACTGGACCTGTATGTTCTCGCCTAGATAACACTAATGATATTTCTTATTATCAAGATAGTAGTGAACTTGGTACAAAATGATGAAACCATTATTCAGTTATTTTTTTCTTAATAGTTATGGTTGGCGATTTAATGCAAAATCTCTGATTGAAAACTTTGAATACATCGCGTCGTTTCCTGATATCCACAATATTTCTTATGATGGCCCAGTTTTATTCATCGGAGGGTCTAAATCGGATCATATACAGTAAGTCTCCGTACATGATACACATTTTTATGGAAATTTTCAGTCGTTTTTTCGCCATTGATAGGAATTTGTGTGTTTATGTTCATTTATTTTTCAGGAAAAGTGACTATCCTAAGATTATACGATTATTTCCTAATGCTGAACTCAAGTATATAGAGGGAGCTGGACACTGGCTGCATAGTGAAAAACCTGCGGAATTTTTGAAAATAACTTTGGACTTCCTCAATAAAACAGTTCCTTCAAGCAACTGAATCAATCTGTGATAACTTTTAATTTATAAAATTTCAAAATTCAATCAATTCATCATCAAATTATAATGAAGTACCTACATGAGATCATCTTTTCATTTTACCCCAATGAGACAAGTTTTAAAAATAATGTTTATTATAATATCGATTCCACCTTTTCAAGGAAAACTGTACAACATTATATACAAAAAAGTTAATAAAACGCTATATACAATAAATAAATTTATAAATTTGTACATTCAACAATTGAGAAAACAAATGATACACAACCAAACCTCAGCAAGGAGCCATGACTCAAAATGGCCGAACCTTCCCAACCTTTCTTCAACTCCTCTGGATGATTGGCACAACAACATTCCAACCTAAAATCGAATGATAAAAATTATCATGATTTGTAATTTTTGTTCATATTAGTGTTCCTAAAGCAAACTTCTAATTAGTGAAAGAATGCCAAGAAAAATGTTCGTTTTGTAGATGAAAACATTTTTTGTCTGAAACATTTTGTTGTATCTATCAAAATAAAGCGGTGGAGGAAGTTCAATTGTTTTTTTAAACAAACCAAGATTTCTCCCGTTTATTTCGACCGATTTTAGCACTTAGGCTCATATGAAAGAGCATAATTTTCCCTAAAAAACGCTTATTTGGTTTTGAATTTTTGACTTTTGCTGTCGCCGCTAGATAACTGAAATGTTAGCAAATTTTTTAGTTTATTTAAAAAAAAAACAGATGGTGAAAGTTGAATAAATGGTGAATAAATCTTCGAAGAAATAGTGCACAGAAGCAAGAAAATTGCAGGACACAAAGGAATTGGCATGACACCAGGTATTTATAACTGATTCAATTAAGTTTTAAGAACGAGGATCGTTACATTTGGCGCCCGAGCAGGGACCATATTCTATCTATAGGATCGTAGGTCATAATTCATATCAATTGAGGCATTATGACAATAGTAAGATCAGAGGAAATTCCAATATAGTAGATAAAACGCCATTTTTAGAGTAAATATATTGATACACAATAGCAATTATGATTATTTTAGAAAAATGCAAAATCTCAGTTTTGTCTACGTTCTTGTAATTTGGGGGGAGCACAATGCAACGGTGAATTATTATAGAAAAAAAAAGAAATATTTCTATTATAATAATTTGGGGGGACAATGCAACGGTGTTATTAAAAATTTAATGAAATATACTCGGTATATAATCATAAATAAAACACGGTGATCTGAAAACAATAAGAATAGGGGTAGTATAAGAAAAAAAAAAGGAAAGAAACAAGTAGTGAAAAATAGGGATTTGGGAAGTAAATGGGATGATAAAAGGAAGTGTAGCAGAAAGGAGATGGTGAATGGTGAAGAAATCTCGGAAGAAATAGTGCGCAGAATCAAGAAGATTGCAGGAAACTGAGGAATTGGCAAGACACCGGGTTTTTGGAACTGATTCACTTAAGATTTAAGAACGAGGATCGTTACATTTGGCGCCCGAGCAGGGAACATATTTTATCAATAGGATCGTAGGTCATAATTCATATCAATTGAGGCTGGAACTGATTCAATTAAATTTTAAGAACGAGGATCGCTACAAGTTTCTCGTTTTATTTGAAAACGTCATTCTGTTCCCACCACCGCTATAAGAATGGAACAAATAAAACCCAACTATGGAGAACGACGATGGTTATATGAACAATTCTGATTCCTCGAGTAAGGATCTTAACTGTATCATCATCGCAGAACTGCCAACTTACTTTTCAACAGAATCAACTGAGGACATTTTCGCTTCCACGGAATTTTTCCTGGCACGACTGATTTTCCTCTTCTTATCGATAATTTCCCTAACTTGCTTCTCCACGTTGATGCACTTTTCGTCCGTAGAAACATTGTGATTCGGCCGTTTGGTGGAAATATTGTTCGAATACAGTATGTTGTTGACATAAGTGCCGCAAGGTGAGTAATTTATCAGTTCATAATGTTTTGTGTACTGAAACAAATTTGAATGATTGAATCACTGACCTATAAATAACAAATGGCAGAACGATACATGATATAGTAGAGGATCCGAAGTAAGGTCGACCCTCATCCATCTGTTTAATGGTTGAACATTATTTTATTAGTATATTAGAAATTTGTTTAGTTGCTATGGCAACAATACAAAAAACAGGCTTTAAATTGATCGAAAATGTTTGGCGTGGAATTTTCAAGAGAATATTGTTCACTTACCTCATCGAAGAAAATGACCGCGTGCCTCGCCACCACGTAATTGCAGAAGCCGAACTTCTCCAAATCCACCTCGTTCGCCGACCCCTTCCCCACATTGAGTACCCTGTATCGCATCGCGACGGCCTCGGGAAACCTGGTAGAGACAGGATGCATTTTTAGACCAGTAGGCAATTTCACTATGATTGAAAATAGCCCTTCTTATATTGGGAACGGTCTCATACATGACTCAGTATATCAAATAGCACTTCCTCTCATCAATTGATTCATTTACAACCGTTCAATTGATACTTCAAAAGTGCTACAAATTGAAAGAGTTCCAAACGACCATTTTTCGCGGTGTGACGTCACTTGTATTTTCATGAGGCTCCCTCTGACTAGAGTTCCTAAATGTACTTGACACTGCTATTTTGACGTTTTTTGTATATTAGAGTACGGACACTATGACAAGCAGTGACATTTAAACATAACCACAAACGATTTTGAAGCAAATCATATGTTTTGCCAGACAAGGACAAGAATATGTTTTTTGCTTGGATAAAGGATCCTCTCATCTTCCTTCCTCCACAAGTCCTGGGAAGAGTACATCCATATATTATATCTTTCTCTGTCTTTGATTTTTGTACTAGAGTGCATAACGTCTCCTCGAGTGGGTAAAAGGGTACGATAAATTGATTAGAAAATTATTTCTTCTCGAAATATTGAATAAGGCTGAAGGACCTCAATGGAGGTCGATATCAAGATGGTATGTACATATACACCAACAAAATACATATACTATTCCTATGAAATAAGTCTCTTATATGTATATATATTGGAATAAGATTATTTTCGATACACGCTCAGTTTATAAATTGTGGGTTCGGCTCTTTCTCTCAACGCGATCGTATTCTGCAACATCAAATCTTCCGTTCTGAAGTGTACCTGATAAAAATGCGTTGAAAAATGTTCTATATCCTACTGTAGAGTATCCTGTATATAGTTAAGAATTACAGATAGTAATCTTTGAAATGTCATGACATGGTTGTCAGGATACACATCTTGGATTAGATAAATAAATAGACATTCAAATTAAATCTATTTGAATTAAGTCATAATTCTATAAATATTATAACATATTTACATGGCGCAGTCGTCCTACGCTTTAAAACAGCAATAAGACTGGTAATCAATTGGAAAGTATGGGTGATAGTCGCGGAATAGCACCTATGTCCATGGTAGGTAGCATTGCCGAAAACTGGAAGATATGGAGAGCACGCTTTGAAAACTACATCATAGCCAGCAAAATTAGTAAGGAAGAAGAAAAAGTGCAATGTGCTCAAGTACTTCATCTCATTGGAGAGGATGGTTTCAATATCTACACAACATTCACATTCGAGGATAATGAAGAAAACAATCTCAAGGTACTGCTAGATAAATTCGAAGCACATTTTCTACCAAGAGAAAATTTAACTTATGAGCGCTACAAATTCATATCATACAAACAACAACCAGGACAATCATTGGATCAATTTGTTACTGAACTGAAGAGAATGGCAATACAATGCAAATGGGGAACTCTGCGAGAAGAAATAACAAAAACTCTTCTAATCTGTGGTATATCTGATTCTGGAATGAGAGAAAAACTTTTACAAGAAGATGACAAACTGTCTTTGGAGAAAGCTATTGAAAAATGTTCCATCATCGAATCATCAAGACTTAGAAATGCAAGTTTGGAGAACCACTTCAATGAAAATGCGTGGAATAGTAATTCAGTGAATATTATACGTAAGGGAACATTTAACTATAAAAAATCATCATCAAATAATGAATGTCAGTTTGACAAAAGTTCTGATACAAATCGTAAAATTAAGTTATGTTATAGGTGTGGAAAATCTCATGCAATCAACAAATGCCCTGCATTTGGAAGAGAATGTAGTTATTGTCACTTTAAAAATCATTTTGAAAGTCAATGTTTCAAAAAGAAAAACAGAATTCATGAAATAGCAGCAGACGAGGTGGTGGATTCTATAAAAACTAATGATGATTTTTTATTTGTTGGATCAGTTTTGGAGGTAAATGGAGTAGAAAACAATAAAGAATGGTTCACTGATTTAGAAATAAATAATAGAAATCTCAAATTAAAAATTGATACAGGGGCTATGGCAAATATATTGCCTTTGAAATCATTCAGAAGATTAGACATTTCATTAAAAAAAATTTGTAATACTGATATAAAACTGAAATCATATACTGGCAATGAACTCAATATCGTAGGTAAATGTACCTTGCCTTGCTTTAAAAATGATATGATCCTGGATTTAGATTTTTTTATTGTTGAGACTGACACTCCAGCAATCTTAGGTTTATCTGCCTGCATCGATTTCAAATTAATTAAAAGAATTGATTCAATTGGTGATGAGAATATTGAATATAAAAAATTGATTGATGAGTATGCTCAGCTATTCAAAGGAATAGGTTGTTTAAATAAAGCTTATGAAATCAAATTAGAAGAGAATTCCCAACCAATTATCCATCCCACAAGAAAAGTTGCAATTCATTTGTTAGATCCTTTGAAAGAAAATATTGACGAATTAATCAAAGAAAAAATAATTGAGAAAGTAGAAGGTAGTTCAGACTGGGTTAATCCATTGGTGATAGTTCGGAAGCCAAATGGTAAAATTAGAATATGTCTTGACCCAAAGGAATTGAATAAAGTGATAAAACGTGAATATTGTAAGATTCCAACATTCGAAGAAATTTCTGGGAAATTAGCAGGAGCAACATTATTCAGTACTCTTGATGCCACATGTGGTTTTTACCAAATTCCTCTAACTGAAGAAAGTTCGAACATTTGTACTTTTGGTACACCTTTTGGCCTATATAAATTTCTTCGTCTTCCATTCGGCATCAAGACAGCTTCTGAAGTTTTCCAAAATCGCTTTAGAGATATTTTCAATGTCAACGGTACTGAAGTGTACATAGATGATGTAATTGTATGGGGAAGAACAAAGGAAGAACATGATGAAAGATTAAAAAAAGTATTTGAACTCGCTAAAAATAATAATATCAAATTTAATCTCAGTAAATGCAAATTTGGTAAAAAAGAAATAAAATACATGGGTCATATCATCTCAGTAGACGGCGTGGCTCCAGATAAATCCAAAATAAAAGCAATAGCAGAGATGCCACGTCCAACATGTAAAGAGGATGTTCAAAGACTATTAGGAATGCTAACATACGTAAATCGATTCATAAAAAACTTTTCTGACAAAACTTCTCCTCTAAGGAATTTATTGAAGAAAGATAACGAATTTATTTGGCAAAAAGAACATGAAGACTCATTTGAAGATCTGAAAAATGTATTGATGAGTAAAAAAGTTCTTCAGTTTTATGATAGGAATAAAGAAACAGTTATTTCGGTTGATGCTTCAAAATCGGGTGTTGGGGCTGTCTTACTACAAAATAAATTACCTTGTGCGTATGCCTCAAAAGCATTAACTGAAACTCAGACCCGATATGCTCAAATAGAAAAAGAGCTATATGCAATTTGCTTTGGAATGAATAAATTTTATGAATATGTTTATGGCAAAAGAACTATCGTGGAAACAGACCATCAACCATTAATTTCAATTTTCAAGAAACCATTGAATAAATGCCCAGCTCGTTTGCAACGTATGATGTTACAGTTGCAGAAATTTGACATCGAACTGAGGTTTAGACCAGGTAAAGAATTACTTTTAGCGGATGCTCTATCTAGAGCATACTTGAATGAGAAATGCAATAGTGACTTTGATTCAGAACTAGAAAATCATGTTTGTTTGGTCAAAATGGAATTAAATGCAACTCCTGAAAAATTAGCACAATTAAAATTGGAAACTGAGAAAGATTCTGAATTGAGAGACTTGAAAGAGATGATTTTGAATGGATGGCCAAACTCAAATAATAAAATTAAAAATCATTTAAGAATATATGCTAATTACAAAGGTGATTTAGTAATTGTTGATGGATTAATATTCAAAGATAACTGTTTACTTATTCCAAAATCATTAAGACAGGAAATGTTGGATCGAATTCATTGTAGCCATCTTGGCATTAATAAATGTATAAAATTAGCACAAGAATCGTTATTTTGGCCAGGTATGATTGATCAAATAAGACAAAAAATTTCTCAATGTCACAGTTGTCTCACTTTCGCTAACTCACAAATGAAAGAACCGTTAATTTCCCATTACATTCCAGATATCCCCTGGAATAAAGTTGGATGCGACATATTTGAGTTATACAGTAGAAAATATCTCCTTGTAACAGATTATTTCTCAAAATACGTAGAAGTTATTAATTTGGAAAATAATTTAAGCAGTCTTAATGTAATAAATTCTTTGAAAAGAATCTTTGCGAGACATGGCATTCCTTTAACTGTTGTATCAGATGGAGGACCTCAATTCTCTTCTAATTTATTTAAAGAATTCTCGCAAGAATGGGATTTTCAACATTCAATATCCTCACCCACTAATGCACAATCAAATGGATTGGCTGAGAGACATATCCAAACAGTTAAAAAATTATTAAAAAAAACTTTGGATGAACGAAAAGACATCAATCTAGCATTGTTGCATTATCGAACAACTCCAATTTACAAAAATATATCTCCTGCAGAAATACTTATGTCAAGAAAACTTAGAACTAATCTGCCAATAACAAGCCAACAACTAAAACCTATAGTTCAAAAAGAATATAACAAAAAGGTAATTACAGATAGACAAGTCAGTCAACAAACATACTATAATAGTAAAGGCACTAAATCACTAGGTATACTTGAAGATAATTTGGAGGTTTATGTGCAAATAGAACCACAAGGTATCTGGTATCCCGGAAAAGTATTAAAAAGAGTCAGAGATAGAACTTATATTCTAAAAATGAGAAATGGATCAATCTTAACGAGAAATCGTAGATTCATAAAACCAGCTAATCTTTCGAACAGAAAGAGTGATATAAATAATTCATCTTCTTCGAGAAATCAAATAGTGGAAAATAAGGAGACTAGGTATTTCATTGAACTCAAGAATAATGAAAACAATATTGGGGATAATGATAGTTCAGAATTGGAACCTGAACAGCATATAGTAGACAGAGATGATAAGACAAATAATTCTATATATTCGAGTTCAGATAAATACCTTGCTTCTACCTCCAATAGCGATCATAGTAGTGTCTCTATAAATAATGATGAATGTAAAGATTCAAGTTCAGAGGAGAACATTGTTGAAAAAGAAACAATCACCTCATATGGTAGAGTTTCCAAGCCTCCTCAGAGATTGGGTCTATAATAATAATCGTGTTATATTTCATCTTCCGAAGGAGGGGGATGTAGAGTATCCTGTATATAGTTAAGAATTACAGATAGTAATCTTTGAAATGTCATGACATGGTTGTCAGGATACACATCTTGGATTAGATAAATAAATAGACATTCAAATTAAATCTATTTGAATTAAGTCATAATTCTATAAATATTATAACATATTTACACCTACCAAGAAATTTGAATACCTCGCAAATTTTGTGGCCTGAGCCTATATTGCATGCCGACCGCATCATATTCTGTTTCCATTTTTATAGAATTACGTTTTCCGATGGAAATTCGAATAGCGAATTGCATCTTTCTCCTAATTCTCTCAATTTGTCAAAACTTTGAAATTTATATGTCAAGTACGTCCGTGTACTGTCAGTTCCCGCTTTTTCCATCAATTTATTTGTGGTTATGTCTGATTGTCAGTGCTTGTCATAGTGTCCGTACTCTAAGGCTATATTCCGATTTCAACTGACAGTACTGAATCTGCTGAATTTTCATTCCGAAATCAAAAAAATTGACTGAAAGTGACAGATACTCGTGAGCAGATATACTATTCATTCCAAATATTTCGACTCAACATTCTGCTGAAATTGCTGACTATCAAAAGGTAGTGTGGCTTCAGTGAACTGTCATTATCTTTGAGGGGAAAGCAATGACACATTCATTTCCGTTGTTTTTCAAACATTAAGTCTTGGCTTATCAATAATACATTTATAATACCATTTTGATATCAGAAAATGTCTGTTATTTATTTAGCTCAAGCAGGAGCATATGCCAGATCAATGACAACTGACAAATTTCACCAGCTGATTAACTGCTGCTGATTACTGATGAAAACGTGTTCCGAATTACAGCACTGTATTTTTGATTTTATATTTCGGAACACAGCTTTCCAGCAGAGTCAGTGGATCTACTGACAGTACTGACCAGTTGAATTCGGAATATAGCCATATATACAAAAAACGTCAAAATAGCAGCGTCAAGCACATTTAGGAACTCTACATATCCCTAGAATCGTTCTGATCGGTCTAAAAATGCACCCATACCGAAAGTCAAGGTTATCTGAATGGTTACCTCAGAGAGACGGTGGGCCGGAAGCCCATGAAGCTGGCGTCGTGACGGACGTCGGTCGGGTCCACTTCGGCCGTTCTCACGTTGTAGAAGTGTTTCGAAACGACGGGGCACATCATCGCTCGCGCTCGAATGGCCGATTTCGGTTTGATTTTCTTCTTGGGGCTGCAAGTGGTTGAATGGAATATTCCACATGAATTTGTTCAAAATATCCCAGCAGATTTGTATAGAATTGGGTATTGCATCACTTATTCTACGAAATCTTTGGCAATGATCAAGTTCACGAGAGCCTAACGTTTTCGAACAATTCCCAAAACTTATTCGCGAAAATCACGAACCAATAGATGGCTCTATTAAACGTCAAATCAACGTCAAATTTCAAACTGAGTATGAACAACAAAAACATTGCCGTATGCACTCATTGCAAATTGGTTATTTCGAAATCATTTTGCAAAATAGTGAATAATGAGTTGACTTCGTGAAATACGTACAAGGTTTTCAGTATGGAAGAAATTACTTTTTGTGCAGAGAAATTGCCATTTTGATGTGGACAATAGTATTCATCATTGATAATTATTTCATTTATTTCAGTTATTGCATTACATTCTTTTCTTCATTGATACATTTCATACAAATAATATATAAAGTATAATTAATTTTCTAGTAGGAATGACATGAATGATCAGACAGTAATTCCTGGTATAAGATCATTCATGAAGTATTATCGACTGTTGTATAATTGAAATTACAAATAGTGAACAAAACTTACATATCATTAAGATACAGTCATGGACTGGAATGGAGCCATATAAGCAATCAGCTATTACAACAATATGGTATAGGTATGAAGAAATAATTGAATTCATCAAGAAATGTCACTGGCTTTTATGAAGGAGATGGAATTCTAGTGAAGGGGCTGGGCAAAGAAGATATGGTTGGAGAGGCTGCTCAGAATGAACAATATCATTGATTTACATAAACAAGGATCTCCAGCAATTGAAGACTTGAAGTTAATCTCAAGATCGAATCATTGCAACCAACATTTATACAAGGATTCTAACTGTGCTACAGAAAATGTATATTATATTATTATAAGGTAGGTACTGGCTTCTTCATTGTGAACAATAAAAGTTCATGCAATAATTCGAGTTTTTTCATCAGGGAAAAATGAGGTTCTGGAATATGCACTTCAACAAATAAATTATTTTCAAAAAAAACACAGAAACTCAAAACAATGTTCGCCATATTTGTTGTTCATACTCGCAAGACTTGTAAAGTTAGCCACCAGAGGCCGCACACTTCGTGATTTTCGCGAATTGCCAGATTGGTCAAAGTGAATGACGTACAATATGGACGCATGCGCATTCGCTCGTAGAAAAACTTGGAATGATTAACGACAGCCTCGGGGCCTCGAGAGGAAGGACAAACATCTTTGAAAGCCTAAATCACTACACACAAATGATAACAGTGGGCTGACGCCATGCTATTAGTGGACCAGAATAAAACTTTCTGACCAAACTTAGCCTCCACAATTTTATTGCGAAAAATAGTTATAAAAAAACAGGAATCTCAACATACAGTGTGACCCATTTAAGATGGAAGCACCCTTATAAAACTTACATTTTTCAACCGATTGGAATAATTTTTTTTTGTTAGGTAGATATTCAAAAAGTCTATTAGGACACCAAATATCATGAATAAATCTCCATTTCCAGGGCCAACTAATCTGATTTTTCAAGGTCAAAAATCTAAAAAATTACTAGCGATTTTTTTAGAAAAAATCTGACTACACCACTGGATTTGTGACATTTTCAAATGGGTAACATGTAAATTACGTTGAAATGCGTCAATCAATAAAAAAGTTATAAAGGAATGAAATTTGAAAAATATGCCGTTTAATCAACCCACCAATTCATGTTCAGGAATTTTATGAAAATTCTGTATACTCCACTGGATTCAGGATGTCTTGAAATATTACTGATCACAGTTTCATCGAAATCTGTTCAGTAATGAAAATTGATGGGTTGATTAAACGGCATATTTTTTAAATTTCATTCCTTTATAACTTTTTTATTGATTGACGCATTTCAACGTAATTTACATGTTACCCATTTGAAAATGTCACAAATCCAGTGGTGTAGTCAGATTTTTTCTAAAAAAATCGCTAGTAATTTTTTTAGATTTTTGACCTTGAAAAATCAGATTAGTTGGCCCTGGAAATGGAGATTTATTCATGATATTTGGTGTCCTAATAGACTTTTTGAATATCTACCTAACAAAAAAAAAATCATTCCAATCGGTTGAAAAATGTAAGTTTTATAAGGGTGCTTCCATCTTAAATGGGTCACACTGTATATCACGTGTTGGGAATGGTTCGAAAGATTGAGGCACTTCTATCAAATTCCTCACCAAGTTTTACGGGATTCCAATCATTTGATGGATATGAATAGCAGGACGGGTGAGGTTTTATGGAAACTAAAACATTTTGTGTAAGTCTGATTCAAGAGATGCAATTATCTTGATTCAATGTTGATATTAGTATACTAGAAACTGTCCCAAATGAATGAATTTTCACCGCTCACTTTTTTGGAAGTAATTGGAACATTTGCTATTTTTGGACCAACTCTGTATATCGTGAGTACGTGCAGGTATCATTGAACTCTATAGTGGATTCTCACCGGCCTCATGAACAAACAAAACGTAGTTGATTTGGTTTTGGTATTCCGAGAACGACATTTCACAATGGCCATTCGAAATTTTGAAAAAGTCAACTTCAGCTCCCTGTATAATCCAAACTATTGAGTTTAGAGCGTTGATAATGGGGAAGTTTCCTTTATTGAGGTTCTTATCTCACTGTGAACTTTGTAAAAAATTAATATATACGTATTTTTTCTTTTTTTCGTATGATCAAATTTCACTTCAGTAAAAAATAAATAAAAGAAGAACTTGGCGCCTCCACCATTCCTATAACTTACTTTCTGAAAATCCACATTCACACAGAGTTAAAATACGATTCCCTGTGTCAGTAAGACATTACTGACATCATCAAAATGTCTAGATCTCTGGAAATTGTTTTTTGAAAGCATAATAACTATATCATAACAGCAATCTTCAATCCTACTATGTCAAGTATCATGAAGAATTCCCATAAATCTCTCATTGGCTGAATGAAGTTGATTACTAATACAGATTAATTATGATATTTTGCGATAGTATCAATAATTTTTATAGCTTATCAGTCATTTTTTAAATCTTATGTAGAAGTCCATAATTTTCTCTAAGTGTAGTGTAGTGATGGAAGGATTAGAAAACACATTTGTGGTTATGTATGTTTTTGTTTACCAGTTTTACTTCTTCTTCTATTGTTTTCATTCGTTTTTCATCAGTTAGCTATTCGTTAGTTATTCGCTAGCTATATTCTTCACCATCAGCTATTTCCAGACTAGATTCAGAATGTACGTCACAATTTGCCGTCCCGAAAATTAGAAATTGCTTTAATTTGAAAATAAAAACTGGAGAGTTCCGAACTTATTTTATGAAAATTAATCTGAAGGAAACTTCTCCATTGGGTCGGTCATCTGATCAGCATCACGAACTCAACAATATATCGAAAATTCGAGCAAATTCACCGAATCTATTCTGAAATACAATAATTGACGCTTTCTGAGATTAAACTGACTATTCTAAAAAATGATACATTGTCATATATAAATGGTCCAAGGATGGAAAAAGAAGGGCAAATTGTTCTAAATGCGATCCAAAAGACAGGCGGAAAAGAAGGTGAAATATGTAACTTTATAGTGAAATATCTCAATGAATAATGGTTTGTTCACATTTTCATTATCAAATTCGTGTTTTTCAGACAAAAATGCGTGAATACCATACAAATTTTCGAAGAAAAAAAAAAACCTTGCATGATAAGTGCAGTTTCACCGAATATAATTTTCAGACAATAAAGTATATCAATCAATCAACTTCTTGTGCTTGTAGAAATTTCGGTAAAACTGCATTTATCATGCGTTGGGTTTTTTTCGAAAAAATTTTTCGGTACTTACGTATTTTTGTCTGAAAAACATGACTTTGATAATGAAAATGAGAAAAAACCACTATTTATCGAGATATTTCAAGAAAAAGTTCGAAATTTCGCCATCTTTCTCCCCCTGTGTTGGGGGCTTTCAAAAGAAAATTCAACAGGAAATATGATTTTTATGGCGAGTTTTTCATATTTAGTGAACAAGCATTCCAGATGACGCCATTTAATCAATAGTCAATCAAAATACGAGATGTCAAATGTCAATAGATTGCTTTGGAATGACATTACACACGCCATTATTTTAAATGATATTCTTCCTTATTTTCACTAAATATGGATAAATCACAAGAAAATCATATTTCTAGTTGACTCATATAAAAGAAAAGAATGTGTCATTGAAGTACATTGTGATATATAAATTGTCCAATGATGAAAAAAGAAGGGCAAATTGTTCTAAATCCAGGCCAAAAGACAGGCGGAATAGAAGGTGAAATTTGCAACTTCAAAGTGAAATATCTCAATAAATAATGGTTTGTTCACATTTTCATTATCAAATTCGTGTTTTTCAAACAAAAATACGTAGGTACCAAAAAAATTTCGAAAAAAAAACATCGCATGATAAATGCACTGTTACATAAAGTTCAAACTTACCTCGCAAATACTCTGGATATCCTGTCGATATCAGCAGGAGTGAGAAGCTCACTGGGTAGAGGCATATGGCGCAACTTTTCCCTATAGGCTGAATAGAACTGAGAGTTGGGAGATGACGATGACGAATTATTCAATAGTTGTTGGATACGTTGATAAGCGAGAAGTCTGAGTAACTTATCGTCCAACTGCCTCAGGTCCAAATCGACTGCAAAAAATTGTGAATCTGACAAAGATATCGGATGATAGGATGAATCGATTTGTAATTCACTGAATAATCAGTAAGCTATCACAACAAAGCCTCTACTATGAAGTACCTGTGATGGATGCTTTCAAAATGTCACTTTCAATGTCAAATAATAATGTTTCCACAGCCGGCTCGACAAAAATAGTATATTTTAGACAATAAAGCGAGTGGACTACATTTGTTTTATTCCTTCAATAGAATCATCACTGAAATACCTTTGAATTTCATTTTTTTTTTTAGAAGTTTTTGGCCGATTTTACACCACACACATCACCATTTATTCGACGTATCGCAAAACCTGTCCAAATGCAAATTTCGATCGTCATCTGATAACGAAATGGTGGGTTAGGTAAATATTTTTGAAAATAAGAACAAGTCAACTAGATTTTTGAATCATGAATAAGAAATGATCTATGCTTTTTTGAAATACCCTTAAGCGAGGTTCACAACCAAACTTTCCACGTTTCGTATTCTGATTGGTGAAGGGGAATATGAAATTAAACGTCATGTTAATTCCAGACTCTGCTTCACCGATCAGAATGCGAAACGTAAAAAGCAAAACGTAAAAAGTTTGGTTGTGAACGCCGCTTTATAGTCCAATAAATGAAGGAGGAGGAAAAAAGGCAAAGTTAACGTTAATTACGCACTATTTTCATCTTCCGGTTGGAAGTAGCTTTTGGTACCTCATTAAACATGAGACAAAGTTTGACTGGAAAACGCGTGCGATGGCGGAGAAAATGGCCCCAAAAGACCCGGAAATTAGGTTTTCAGCCAATATCTCCTAAAATATGGCAGTTAGAGATTTTCGGTTCAGATAAAAATTGAAGTTCAGTTAATTTTCTACAAAAATGGTCCTTATCATTTTTCTCGAAAATTTGCCCGGTTTCGACTCCGTCGTTCGCCGCGTGTGTGCTCTACGTGGCGCTCGGGTCGTCTGCTACAAACCATGCGGCCACGCAGGGTATGATAGCAGCAGAATTCCTCTTTCACATGAACTTTGAATCATGAGAAAATATGCATTTTTAATAAAGTTATTGAAAAATTTGTCCCCCCGCCGATGTGTAAATACAAGGACTGTGCTCTCCGGCATACAACACAAGCTCATTATTCGAGGTGCGCTTCGTGCCGTTTTTCTCGAAACCGGGCAAATTTTCGAGAAAAATGATAAGGACCATTTTTGTAGAAAATTAACGGAACTTCAATTTTTATCTGAACCGAAAATCTCTAACTGCCATATTTTAGGAGATATTGGCTAAAAACCAATTTTTCTGGTCTTTTGGGTCCATTTTCTCCGCCATCGCACGCGTTTTCCAGTTAAACTTTGTCTCATGTTTAATGAGGTACCAAAAGCTACTTCCAACCGGAAGATGAAAATAGTGCGTAATTAATGTTAACTTTTTCCCTTTATTTATTGGACTATTATTCTTCCTGTAGCAATGAATCATCGCTGACGTCCTATATGAAACATTAGGAAAAAAGTAGTCAATTTTTCGAAAATTACCACCTAAATTTTGAATGAATTCGCCTGCTACTTACAGTTGGAGATGGAAATTTGAACTTTGAAGCATCATGAGTTTTCAGTAGAACATTTCATCAGAACTTTGAAAGTATTACACTTATATTAAAGTCCAATGACAAATTGCATTATAATCAAGCCAAATCACCTTTGATATCATTTTTTGTGAATGTGTTGATTACTTACCAAAATTCAAATACAATACAGTAAAATGAAAGATGCAATATTAGATTAGAGGAATTTTATTTAAACAAATCACAGCTCACATTATTTGTACCCACCTGTGCTGAATCAATTTATTTATCATCCAGCATTCCAATAGTGATAAAATGGTTAATAATAGACAATAAGTCACTCAACAACAAAAAACTCACCTTCAGTAGTCATTCCAGCTATCACATCAGTAATAAAATTATGTTCTTTCCTCATAAGCTCTTTCTCATAATAACCACCATTGAGATGTTCAGTTTTTGCATATCCATTCATAGTACTCCAATCAACATTCGTATAGCTGTTATTTTCTTCTAAATTCGCATTTGTACAATGTCTAATTTTATTACTCTTAATATCACAATTTGGATCACTAACTTCTTCATGATCGTGTTCTACCTTAATGGTATTGTCTACAATAGTCTCATCCTCTATTTTTATTATGTCACTTAGACCCCTTTTGTTCTCAACATATTCTAAGCGTAGCACGTCTCTGAGTCTGGGCAGTAATTTCACTGGTTTCTTGTAATGGTATTTTACCATTTCTGGTACTTCGACAGTGCCTTTGGGGGGTAGGCGCGTTTTGATCCGGAAGGGGGGATTTTTTCTGTGTATTTTTCGGAAGAATTCCAGTTTGACGCAGTCTTGATCTACAGGGCCCGTGAATTTGTCCCACAATTTGACTCGTTCGGTGGCCGAGACTGATGTGAGAAGTTTAGTATCCTGCAGAAAAGTGTTCAGGATACATTATTTGTACGAGGGGGGCCGTGGTGGAATTTTAATATACAAACAACTGGAATTCCAAGACATATTTTGGAATATTTGCACATATTTGGTAATCTTTGAACTACATTGCAACTTGCAACTACCTAAGAATTAAGAATCCTTTGGAAGCTGGTGATGTTTCTACAGGGTGTCCGCTAAAAGGAGGTCATTAACCATATATTCCTTGAACAAAAATAATATGAGTTTCTAAATACCATTTTTCATTCTAGCCCTTCTTATTCGATATACAGGGTGTCAAAGTTGAAAATTAAAAACTGTTTTTTTTCTAATTACTCGCGTATTTGATAAGATATTAATCTCAAAATTGGTACATTACTTCAGCACAAAGAGTTACATCGTGTGAGGAAAACAAAACAGAAAATAACTGTCAAATATTCAAGATACTGGGGGTCAAGTTCACACTTACCCCTATATTTTGTTTGTACGTGCGCTAATGACTTCCTATCTATTTTCCTTCATGTGTTCAATCATTTTTGAGTATTTTTTGATTTTTGTAAAATTCCGATAAAATTATTTGTTTTTAAGATAATTCGAAAAGTACTGGTTATTGTTTGATGCCTTGCGGCTTACGGTAATCTCATAATGTTCACATACTCCTATTTATTCCGTCGAAATTGGAAGAGGGCGTATCTTATTACGTACGGAAAGGTGAATATGGAAATACCGGGTGCTCAGAGCGAATGTATTAAAATAATTTTTACACTTTTTAAATCTTTTTTTTTTTTTAATTATTTTAGTACATTTGCTCCGAGCACCCGGTATTTCCATATTTACCTTTTCGTACGTAAAAAGATACGCCCTCTTTCAATTTTGACGAAATAAATAGGAGTATGTGAACATTATGAGATTACCTAAGCCGCATAGGCATCAAACAATAACCAGTACTTTTCGAATTATCTTAAAAACAAATGATTCAATCGAAATTTTACAGGAAACAAAAAATACTCAAAAATGATTGAACACTTGAAGGAAAATAGATAGGAAGTCATTAGCGCACGTACAAACAAAATATAGGGGTAAGTGTGAACTTGACCCCCAGTATCTTGAATATTTGACAGTTATTTTCTGTTTTGTTTTCCTCACACGATGTAACTCTTTGTGCTGAAGTAATGTACCAATTTTGAGATTAATATCTTATCAAATACGCGAGTAATTAGAAAAAAACAGTTTTTAATTTTCAACTTCGACACCCTGTATATCGAATATGAAGGGCTAAAATGAAAAATGATATTTAGAAACTCATATTGTTTTTGTTCAAGGAATATGTGGTTAATGGATTGACCTCCTTTTAGCGGACACCCTGTATATCTCAGAATCCTTTGAAATTCCTTTAAAATCCCTAGAAATTCATGAAAATTCAAATTTAATTACTAGGAGTGATAATATAAGACATGTTTTCTATGTTTGTACAATAAATGAATAAATTTATTCAAACTAAATTTTGATCATGGTTTATTTCTTACATTTGCTAATGAATAGATACATTAGTAAACATTTATTGAATTATATTTCATTAATTGGTTAATGGTATAGCCTCGGGTATAGCCTACAAAAATGTGAAATCCCTTACAGAGTGACATGACTACAATGAATGAATGAATAGGAAATTAAATGACTTACCAAAGCATGTTCAACATGCTGAGGACACATCCATCTACCTGATGGTGGATTTGTGAGCGGTGGATCAAGGCAATCCAGATGGTAAAAAATATCGCAAAAATCACAAGAAATCAGCGGTGCTATCCTGCACGACTTCTTACATTCGCTACATTTTTTCGCCGGCAAAGCTATTATACCACTGGAGCCTTTCTTGTGGTCTTTTGAGATTTTATTATTTTTTCGGCCAACCTTGGAGTACGGAATTTCCACTGGAAAAATGCATAGCCCAGTGAGAACATTTTGGCATATCAAGAATTATTTTTGAATTTCCACTGGAAAATGCATAGTCCAGTGAGAACATTTTTGTATATCAAGAATTATTTTTCCAATCAGTATACAGTATACATGTTGGATCGCTGAGTGGGCCACCCGGCATATCGGTTTCTTTCATTTAATATTCATATCTAGATGATGAATCTCATGAATCCTGCTATGAGGCACTGTGATCGATTCTTTGGCATTTGAATACTCTACTTCCCTAATTATTATGGAATTGAAAGAATCAACAAGTTAGATTGAATGTCAAGAAATAGCAGAAACTCATCAACTCAAATTTGTTTTCTCAGGATGAAAATAAATGTACTGATTTTGCAGTGTCATAAAATCTGGCGGAGTTTACTGACTCCGCACCCCGCACCAACTGTAATGGGAGGAGCATGCGCGAGTCAAGCTAATGTCTATCCACAATGGAAAAAACCGGGAAAAACAGTTCTACAATGGATAATATAACAAAAATATGCTGAAGGGATACATTTTGAATATCATAATGAATTTTAATGATGTATTTCTTGCCGCTACTAATTTATTATACGTTTTCAAATTCGATTTTGGACGTGAACTTGAACAAGTACGTTAGACTGGAGTAGCCATCTTGACGGATTTGATTTGAATCCTTATCATCAGTTTTTGTTTAAAAAATTATCAATTTTCAATTGGAAATTACAAATACTACAATTTTTCCAACAAAAATATCCTTATGATCTGTCTGGTGATCGTTTGTATTGTAATATAATAATATAATATAATATATACAGTGAGGCTAACAAAAGTATTCCAGAACCCAGAGAATCCTGCAAATCTTGGTTTGATTCCAGAAACTAGGGAAACCGGAAGAATCCTGGGTGAGTGCTTACCTTGAAATTGTTCTCTTTACAGGTAAAAGTAAGACACAAGAGTAATTTTTTGGCAAGCAATGTGATAACATTACCTTATGCATCACCAGTATAGTCCTGATATTAATGAATATTTCCCTCATATGTGATATTATGTCCCATAAGAGCAATGCAATTATCAGAAACTTACAGGGGTAATTGCACTGCAGAGTGAATTACATTGGTGCATAAAAATTACCAGATAATTTTGCATTAGAGTATGTTATCTAATACAAATTGAATTTGTTTCATAATTTGTAAGAGAGCCCCTCTCCTTGGGACTCAGACTCTTTTGCCAAAATATGAAAATACTCTTGCAATTTTTAGATAACATGCTTTCTTGCAAAATGATCTGGTAATTTTTATGCACTCATGCAATTATATTCAATAATGGCATTCACTACTAAGCCAAATAAATCAATACTCAATGGAATATAATATAATTAGAGTATTTTTTTCTATGTTCTTTTTCTATTAAAGCTGCAGTAGAACTTGGTTGTTGAATAAAACATATCAGTTGGTACTTCTTCTTGTTCTTGTTTTAAGATTACAGAAGGAAAGAAAAACTCATAAAAATTTCAAAGATTGAAGGTTAATCCTTCACCACCTTATAATATGTACCATACACATACAGTAGGAGATAAACAAAATTGGCTTATTAAAAATTGATTTATTGACTGGGTTTCATCTTCAGTAGGAAAATTCATGCTTTGATCAATGTCTTCAATGAATAAATAGATTTGAACTGGAAAGCAGGGAATAAGGAGTAGGAATTTTGGTCTTGGTACACAGAAATTGGACTGAAAAAGAAACAATGTTTTAGAGTTGTATTGACCCATGGATAATCCAAATTTGCATATTCATTCATGTAGAATAATTGAAACTATTGAAAGAAGTTGAGGCAATAACATATACCTATGGTAATTTTTCATTATAACTTCTTAGAAGCAGAATAACTGTAATATATTCCTATCCTCAACTTTTTTTCATCAGTTTTTTAAGAGAATCTGCATCATGGAAGTCATCAGTTGAATTTCAAGCTCATTGATTTTATGCTTATTGATGTACAAATTTGGATTCATTGAGCTATGCATGCCTATAATAAATATCCTATGTAGAAATGAAAGTTCAGTTTTTGAATTTTTCCAGGATGAAATGGAAAAAAGATCATCTCATATATTCACATAGGTATCTTATATATTATTATTATATTTACTACCTCTAACAATGTAGTTCAATCCTGATGACCACATCTGACATAGAACCTTTTTGCAAAGGTAATATTCATTTGTTTTCAAAAACATGGATAGTATATGAAACAAATTTGGGCCCAGTAGTGATAATGCTTATTACACTGGTTTCAAATATGGCAAAAAGAACAAATTGTTCAATTTCAATCCCTCTTTTCCTTCAACCACTATCTCCCCAGCCATCTTGACTAAACATCCCTGCATCTAACCCTTTTTTGAATCTATAGCATCTGTATAAAACTCATACATGGTGAAATTTCTTGAAACCTCATACAAGCACACAAAATATATGGAGCCCTAAGGGACTAACCTTTATCAGTCCCAGGAAACAGGCATGGGACACTCATACTCCTAGGTAGTTCAAACTGTTTAGGATTCATTGAGTTGGCAGCTTCTATCAAAATTTCCATGGGACTCATCTTTTGTTTTTTGGATAGCTTGATGGGAAAAGGAGCACTCACAGGGGTGCTATTTGACCTTTTACTCCTCAATTGTGGTGGAAGATTTACTTTGCTAGTATATTTGCAGGAATGACAGAGCCATTCACCTCTAGGTATGTCTTGTTCTTCCAGTGGGGGATCACTGAAAGCAAAAATAGCTAGATGAAAGAAAACCAGCTGGGCATCATCAGTATTAGTTTAATTAAAGGATAATATACTATGACTTTGAAATAAAGTATAACTATTATTATTATTATTATTATTATACTCACTGGCAACCTAAATGGAAACTAGAAGGGCATTTATCACAACAAATTAAATCTCCACCTTCTCCACAAGCATCACAACTGTCATGGTTGTGGCCCTTTCCTGGTCTTCTGTAATATGGATGCTCCTGTTTCTTACTCTTGTCTTTTGGGTCATCACTTACAGGAGGTGCAATTAGTGCTTGGATTTGCTGAAAAGCATTAGAAATTTTAACCAAAATGAGTCTGTATATCTGGTTCATATACAATAAATAACATTTTCTTCATGGAATACCAAGGCCCTGACCCATTTCATATTCACCTTCAATGGTGATTAAGCTGGGCTCGAATCTAGGCTTGAATGAGGACAATTTAGGGCTTCCGCCATTTCCTAGCCTTATTTTGTCAAAAACAAAAGAATTATTACTTACGTCCATGAGACCTCCAGTGGTATCTAGATCGTATCCTATTATGGACATTTTGTAGTTTGATGGCCTACAATAGTTTATTTTTGTGAAATGCTGTGGCAAACCACTTTTACAGCAACTTTTCAATTTGGAATTTGGTACCAGCTAGGTAATTATCATCTATACATATTCTGTCTAAAATTAAAATAACTGATATCTACATTGTAATAATTTATTCACTAGTTCACTCCGACAGGCAAATAATTCATCTAGTGTTTTTCATTTATTTTTCGAATAACGTATTCTTTATTTACTAGAAATGGATATTATGACTTTATAAAGTAGTTGGCGCCTCTGTCGAAGCTGCCATTTTAATTTTGAAGAGTATCACATGCGCCTGCGCGTACTCATAGAACACAGAACTTTTGTGACAGACAGTCTACGTGACGTCAACTTGACACCAACCTTAGATTGATAAACTAACCAAGGTTGCCTCATAACTCGACATCGTGACGTACAGGGTCTTCACGTATATATAACAATAATTGAACATCTCAATAAAAAGTTTTGGGCAAGATGTATAAATTTTCAAATGGAACACCCTGTTTTTTATTGCATTTTTAGATTCTCCCTGAAGAGTTGATTTCATCGATCTATCACAGTTGGGGTCTAGCTGAAATGATTACAGAGATATAGGGTGTGAAAAATTTTTCAACTTTAGGAATTTTTTGTTCCGAAACTATTCATTATTGATCAACAGTTTTCATGTCCCTATCTCAACTTTTGATTTACTATCTATTGACATTTAATTGGAACACATACAGGGTGATCAGGATTCTGAATTTTGAACATCCCTGTATTAGTCTGTGATATAACTTTCTTCCCAACAAAATGACTTTTTTCTCATTAAAATTACTTTTCTCATTATAATGACTCATCATGCTTTCATTTTATAATCAGAAATGATTATTTGAAGAGATTTCTAAATTAGATTCATCACATTTATTCACTTTGCAGTTACAGCAAATATATTTCTCCTGAAATAATTTATTCACTGTATAATACCTTTGATAATACATGCCTATTTCTACTAATTGGTATGAGGTAGTGAAAACTATAATATCTCAACAAATATACATTTTTATTTGATAATAAACAAAATACAAATATTTTCAACACTTGCAGCTGAATAATATTTGATAAATGCATCCACATTCAATAAATAATAATCTGAAATATTGTCAATTAAATGTTTTATAAAAATGATATGCTTTCATAAAAATCAATATTAAAATCACATTGGATGACACACCATAATTGATAATTTGGAATATTGATGGAAATATATCAAGTTAGGACTAAAAAAAATTATACATTATATAAATGTCATCATATGTGTGATGAATAATTTTTATTCACATATTTAAAATTTTCATGGGTAGGAAAATAATTTTCCCATCATAATGTATATTGGAAGATTTCTCATGCTAAAAAACTGTAAAATTTTGGCTAATCTACCGGGGATCCAAAAGAAGTATACAGTATAAATAAGATATAGGGCTCCTATGGATTATTTAGGATTGACATCTCAATGATTCATAAACAAGTAGCTATAATGATAATACCACATAATACTGTGATTGTGAATCAAAATAATAATATATTGAGATAATTTCATTTGAATCAACTATATTTTCCTTTATCCACTGAAGTTTCAGATCCCCTGGACTCATATTTATAATTTGTACAGACATACATTCACTAAAACATCAATACAAAGTACAATAACAACTAATGCCATATTAAATATTTGTTATAACAAAATGAAATTCCCAATGACAAATATAGTGGCTGAACTGATTTTTCTCATATTCATGAATATGTGGTACAAGTTAACTCAAGAGATATGCACAGGAATGTTTGTTTCAATTAATCCAACTTGGACCACAAATTAGGATCAATTTCTAAGGGCACCATCATTCATAGCAAGTTAGTAGGCTCTCTAGAATATATTTATTATTGTATTGAGGAACCTAGGTAACATTGTAGAGAGCTGTCAACCTGATTACCCTCCAGACACAATTCTAACAAAACAATTTTGGCTAGTTGAAATATTATCTTTAGCACCTATTTACACATTCTGGTTATATACAAGGGCTCCTAAAAAGATTCCATCTGAATTTCCAAATCGTTGTAAAGCCTTATTTCTTTGAACAGTAATTATCACCCACATGAACTCTAAAATATAAAAGGAATACCTTGGCTAACAACATTTATTCTTCTTGTTTTGTTTATTGGTTTTTCTTAAATTGACTGTATCATTTTGTGTGACATTTTGCCTTTCCATCATGTCTAATTTTGAGCGTAGCACCAATCTTGTGATTGCTAGGAACATTTCTTCTACATTGATGTTATCTTTTGCTGATGTTTCAAACAGCTGGATATTCATTGTATCTGCAAAACGTTGAGCATCTTCTGTGAGCACTACTTTCCTTTCTGGAGTATCATTTTTATTGCCAACTAAAAAAAAATTACTGGTAGAACAAATACCTTTGATCCATTGACATCATCAATCTGTTGTCCTCATCCAAAGATGAAATCACTGATGAACAATGTTCAATTTGCCTAATTTTCTCAGTACTCACCTAATACTTTATTCACTAAATCACAGTTCTGTTCAATTTCATGAAGCCAACGTTTGACATTGGCAAAGCTTTCCCCATTTGTAACATCATACACTACAATAACACCATGTGTCCCCCTGTAGTATGTGCTTGTAATTGTTCTGAACCGTTCTTGTCCAGCAGTATCCCATATTTGGAGTTTCACCTTTTGGCCATTCACATGGACAGTCTTGATTTTGAAGTCGACTCCTATGGTGGTGATATAGCTTCCTGTGAAAGTATTATCGGAAAATCTGAGTAGCAAGGAGCTCTTGCCTACTCCTGAAACAAAAGGCATACATACAGATTTGTAAGATTATTGTTGGATTGAAAAGAATAGATGAGAATGAATTGATAAATTAGGTATGTAGTTAGTTTTCTTGTATGTTAAATACACCCTTCCTAACCCCGCCCACAGATTCTTACCACTATCGCCTATTATGAGTAATTTGAATAAATGGTCATAGTCTCTTGCCATATTGTCTGTGTTGTTAACTCCCTAACGTTACTTTGCTTCTTTTTACGGGCATTAATGCAGCTACTTGTATGAAAAACTGCCACTTTGTTCGAAAATAATCGAAAACAAGATTAATCTTTTAATTCCTATTTATCGTGTCTTGTCAACTGTCTTATTTTTGATGTAAATGAAATGGCAACATTGGCAACAATGACAGTGACAGCTGGCAGATATCTAATACTGCAAGGTTGCCAGACTGATATCTGATAAAAGCATTCGAGGGAGCGTCTAGCTAAACCAGCGTAGATTGTTGAGTTCATTGGCGTAGGGTCCCTTGATGTAGAGTCCCTTGATGGAAATTGAGAGGGTACGGACAGATCCTCGTCTCCTCTCACTCTAAAGTGTTTGTGAAACAGTTATATAGTTCCATCCTTATTTAATTCTGGGAATAAACACTAGATTTGTTGTTTTTTAGGTTATATTGAATGACCTCAATCGTAATTCATACGTAATTTTAATATGGAATTCCTGATTCAACTATACCAAGATTTAGTTGAACAATCCTCTAGTTTTAAGAGTTTACTACTCCAGCATAATCTTTGCGAGGTAGGGAACATATAATTTGTACTAAAAGCTTAATATATTCCACCAAAAGAGACTGTTCTTAGACTGTATACCAGGGTTGACTGAATTTACTGAATGAATTCTGATCTCAAGCTGGGCAGTAGTTTATCTAAGAGCTAATTGAGCTGAGCCTTATGATTGAGAAATGGTGAAAACCTCGATGTGGGTATCTGAACTACTGTACTCATGTCATGTGTGCTATAAAAAGTAATACGTGAAATTGCAGGAAAATGAAGAATAGAATATACTTTACCCCCATGATATACATATGATTTTTCCGTCTCCCTTAAATGAAAAATCATTTCCAAATGATTTATTGATGAAAGTAACAAAGAAGTAGGTATACAGATTGTATACAGTATAACTTATGGGCACGTTATTTTCACTCTTGCATCCTACATATTTTCAATTTGTGGTAGAGTAATAATTGTATAAACTAATGTTAAAAGTGCAGTTTTGTGTCAGACTATCAAATCATAATATACCAAGTATATAACATAACTAGTCACCATAAGTATACTCTGGTCAGTTCACTTTGTGAATCTCCTGTTCGGTTCGTATGGACTGGATGATTTTCTCCGATTGAGTGGCAAGTATCAAATACTGCTTCTCTGATCTGCAACAGAACATCACATATCAATCGAAGTACATACATTCATATCAGAAAATAAATATCATTAGATGAATTACATGGATGTTGAATCTGAGACATACCTGAATAATATATTCTATATCGCCCATAACTGGATTGCTACATATCCGCTTTTTTTCCGAATAGTGTTTTTTCCAGTTGGCATCTTCCACATTTTCAATTACGTGGGTTATAATAAGGACCTTGCATGCCAAAAAATGTGCTGCATGAATCTAAAACTAAGGATCAATTTCAATTTTGAATCGTGAGACCTACATAAAATATAAATCTATGAAAAGTCTGGATATTGTTTTCAAGATTCGTAACTGGAACGCGATATATTTTTGTAATTAATCAATTCATCAACTATCTCAATGAAGACGAGACAGGCAGATAAACAACAATTTCCTCTGCAATGAAGAACACTGAATATACCTAACTCACCATGCGTCTACCTCCTTTGCAGAGAGGGTTTATAAACGCCGAGTTGATACTCTCCCCTCGTAAGGGTACCTGTCGTGTTTCCATAGAGACATAAAGGTGGATATCTGTCCATCTGTTTCCTTGAGAATCTGGAAAGGATGTCAATATATCGCCTTCCGTACGAATATAAAGATCTGAATTCTGTAAAGTATACTCTGGTCAGTTCTCTTTGCGGATCTTCTGTTCGGTTCGTCATGACTGAGTGGTTTTCTCCGATTGAGTGGCATGTATCAAATACTGCTTTTCGGATCTGCAACTAAACATCACATATTAATCGAAGTACATTTAACTGAGACATACCTGAATGATATTTTCATCGTCCATAACTGGATTGCTACATATCCGCTTTCTTTCCGAATAGTGGTTTTTCCAGTTGGCATCTTCCACATTTTCAATCAAGTGGGTTATAATAAGGACCTTGCATGCCAAAAAATGTGCTGCACGGATCTAAAACTGAGGATCAATTTCAATTTTGAATCGTAAGACCTACATAGAATGTAAATCTATGAAAAGTCTGGATATTGTTTTCAAGATTCGTAACTGGAACGCGATATATTTTTGTGATTAATCAATTCATCAACTATCTCAATGAAGACGAGGCAGGCAGATAAACAACAATTTTCTCTGCAATGAAGAACACTGTATATACCTAACCCACCATATGCGCCTACCTCCTTTGCAGAGAGGGTTTATAAACGCCGAGTTGATACTCTCCCCTCGTAAGGGTACCTGTCGTGTTTCCATAGAGACATAAAGGTGAATATCTGTCTATCTGTTTCCTTGAGAATCTGGAAAGGATGTCAATATATCGCCTTCCGTACGAATATAAAGATCTGAATTCTGTAAAGTATACTCTGGTCAGTTCTCTTTGCGGATCTTCTGTTCGGTTCGTCATGACTGGGTGGTTTTCTCCGATTGAGTGGCAAGTATCAAATACTGCTTTTCGGATCTGCAACTAAACATCACATATTAATCGAAGTACATTTAACTGAGACATACCTGAATGATATTTTCATCGTCCATAACTGGATTGCTACATATCCGCTTTCTTTCCGAATAGTGGTTTTTCCAGTTGGCATCTTCCACATTTTCAATTACGTGGGTTATAATAAGGACCTTGCATGCCAAAAAATGTGCTGCACGGATCTAAAACTAAGGATCAATTTCAATTTTGAATCGTGAGACCTACATAGAATATAATTCTATGAAAAGTCTGGATATTGTTTTCAAGATTCGTAACTGGAACGCGATATATTTTTGTAATTAATCAATTCATCAACTATCTCAATGAAGACGAGGCAGGCAGATAAACAACAATTTTCTCTGCAATGAAGAACACTGTATATACCTAACCCACCATATGCGCCTACCTCCTTTGCAGAGAGGGTTTATAAACGCCGAGTTGATACTCTCCCCTCGTAAGGGTACCTGTCGTGTTTCCATAGAGACATAAAGGTGAATATCTGTCTATCTGTTTCCTTGAGAATCTGGAAAGGATGTCAATATATCGCCTTCCGTACAAATATAAAGATCTGAATTCTGTAAAGTATACTCTGGTCAGTTCTCTTTGCGGATCTTCTGTTATCGGTTCGTCATGACTGGGTGGTTTTCTCCGATTGAGTGGCAAGTATCAAAAACTGCTTTTCGGATCTGCAACTAAACATCACATATCAATCGAAGTACATTCAACTGAGACATACCTGAATGCTATTTTCATCGTCCATAACTGGATTGCTACACATCCGCTTTCTTTCCGAAAAGTGGTTTTTCCAGTTGGCATCTTCCACATTTTCAATCACGTGGGTTATAATAAGGACCTTGCATGCCAAAAAATGTGCTGCACGGATCTAAAACTGAGGATCAATTTCAATTTTGAATCATGAGACCTACATAGAATATAATTCTATGAAAAGTCTGGATATTGTTTTCAAGATTCGTAACTGGAACGCGATATATTTTTGTAATTAATCAATTCATCAAGTATCTCAATGAAGACGAGGCAGGCAGATAAACAACAATTTTCTCTGCAATGAAGAACACTGTATATACCTAACCCACCATATGCGCCTACCTCCTTTGCAGAGAGGGTTTATAAACGCCGAGTTGATACTCTCCCCTCGTAAGGGTACCTGTCGTGTTTCCATAGAGACATAAAGGTGAATATCTGTCTATCTGTTTCCTTGAGAATCTGGAAAGGATGTTAATATATCGCCTTCCGTACGAATATAAAGATCTGAATTCTGTAAAGTATACTCTGGTCAGTTCTCTTTGCGGATCTTCTGTTATCGGTTCGTCATGACTGGGTGGTTTTCTCCGATTGAGTGGCAAGTATCGAAAACTGCTTTTAGGATCTGCAACTAAACATCACATATTAATCGAAGTACATTTAACTGTGACATACCTGAATGATATTTTCATCGTCCATAACTGGATTGCTACACATCCGCTTTCTTTCCGAATAGTGGTTTTTCCAGTTGGCATCTTCCACATTTTCAATCACGTGGGTTATAATAAGGACCTTGCATGCCAAAAAATGTGCTGCACGGATCTAAAACTGAGGATCAATTTCAATTTTGAATCATGAGACCTACATAGAATATAATTCTATGAAAAGTCTGGATATTGTTTTCAAGATTCGTAACTGGAACGCGACATATTTTTGTAATTCATCAACTATCTCAATGAAGACGAGGCAGGCAGATAAACAACAATTTTCTCTGCAATGAAGAACACTGTATATACCTAACCCACCATGCGCCTACCTCCTTTGCAGAGAGGGTTTATAAACGCCGAGTTGATACTCTCCCCTCGTAAGGGTACCTGTCGTGTTTCCATAGAGACATAAAGGTGAATATCTGTCTATCTGTTTCCTTGAGAATATGGAAAGGATATCAATATATCGGCTTCCGTACGAATATAATGATCTGAATTCTGTGAAGAATACTTTGGTCAGTTATCTTTGCGGATCTCTTGTTCGGTCCGTATTTACTGGATGGTTTTCTCCGATTGAGTGGCAAGTATCAAACACTGCTTCTTGGATCTGCAACTAAACATCACATTTAAACGAAGTACATTTGAATCAGAAAATATCATTAGAGGAAATACATAGATGTTGAATCTGAGACATACCTGAATAATATTTTCAACGTCCGTAACTAGATTGCTACATATCCGCTTTCTTTCTGCATAGTGGTTTTTTCAGTAGGCATCTTCCACATGTTCAATTACGTGGGTTATATTTAGGACCTGTCTTATCTGTGTTCTTGAGAATCTGGAAAGGATA